GCCGGCCGGCCGTGACCGAGGCTCGACAGTGCAGCGGCGGGGCGCGCCGGCGGGACGCCCGCCCCAACGACCGCGTGTCTTCAGCCTAGCACGCCACCGCCATTAGACCCGCCAACAAAATAATTATGCTCGATCGTCTCTTCACATGATTACTAGTCATCACCGACTCCCACTGCCGCGTGAAATAGAATGGAACTAGGCCAGAAGTCCCGTTCAGACCCGCAACTCTCCGCACACTGTCGTAAGCGGAAGCCGCAGCCGCCTGCAGCACGCCGTCCACGGCCAACCGTGGGCACCAGCGCGGGCCTGTCAGGTCAGGTCAGGTCAGGTCAGGTCAGGTCAGGTCAGGGTCGGGGTGCGGTCAGGGCGGGGTCGCACCTTCAGCTGTCCCACGCGTCCCTGCTCCAGCTGCAGCTCCTCGGTGGCCAGCTGCAGCTGTTGCTCGGCCGTCTGATGCTCGTCGCCCAGGTGCTGCAGCTGCCGGCGCGCCTCGGCCAGCTCGGCCTGGGCGTGAGTCAGCTCGCCGCGCAGCTGCTCCGCGACAGCTGCAGCTGCTCGCGCTGGCGGTCGTCCGCGGAGCGCTGGTCCCGCTCCAGTTCCAGCTGCCGGACGCGTCGGGCTCAGACAGGGGGCGTTGCTGGGGCAGCAGTTCCCTGGCTGCAATGATCTGACCGCGGCTCACTCCCGGCGCAACGTATGCGGTCATGAAAAACTCGACAACGATTTGATGGAGAACAGTCAGACACTTAGGTTACTTGCGAGGGGACGGGACTAAAAACCTCAGTCATGTAGCACATGCATTACGTAAGGACCTAAAATGAGTGCATATATGACACAGATGGGTGCCTTTGTAACAAAACACATTTGGCAGACAAACGAATTCATAGAACATCACGACTCAACAGGGTACACGCAAATGATTGTGACGGTGCGGAACTGAAAGTTGTGGTGGCTGCCACCCCCTATTCCAGATACTCCTGCCACAGTGCCTCACCTGGTCCAGCCGCTCCTACAGCCGTCACTCATCTAATCCAACTGCTCCTGCAGGTGCTACTCACCTGGTTCGGCTGCTCCTGCAGTTGCTACTCACCTGGTCCAGCTAGTCCTGCAGCCGTCACTCATCTAATCCAACTACTCCTGCAGCTGCTACTCACCTGGTCCAGCCGCCCTGCAGCTGCTACTCACCTGGTCCAGCCGCTCCTGCAGCTGCTACTCACCTGGTCCAGCCGCCCCTGCAGCTGCTACTCACCTGGTCCAGCCGCTCCTGCAGCTGCTACTCACCTGGTCCAGCCGCTCCTGCAGCTGCTACTCACCTGGTCCAGCCGCCCTGCAGCTGCTACTCACCTGGTCCAGCCGCCCCTGCAGCTGCCACTCACCTGGTCCAGCCGCTCCTGCAGCTGCAGTCGGTCACGTCGCTCCCGCTCCGCCCGCGCCTCGGCCTCACGCTGCCGTCCGTCCAGCCGGCTCCGCTCGGCCTCGGCGGCGGCCCGCCCCCCCGCCGCCGCCGCCAGCTGCGCCTCCAGCTCGGCCCCGGACTCGGTCAGCGACTGGCCAGCGGCGGAGGCGCGGCCGGTCAGCGGTCACCAGGCCACCGGAGCACGGCGGCCGCCGGGCGAGCACGTTGGGAGGAGATGCGACGGTTGAGCGGGAGCAAGGACCCAAACGGCCGCCAGGCGAGCACGTTGGGGAGGAGAGACGGCGGCTGAGCGGGAGCAAGGACCGAACGGCCGCTGGGCCCGAGCTGCCGCGTTTACAGCTGACGGTCTACCCCCAACGCGAAACGAAGCCCATGAAGGATAGCACGCGGAAGCTTTGCGTCAAAGTATTCGCGGCAATGCAAGATAGCGTGCGCGCTCACATCGACGATGCCCACACGAGCGTCAAGCGCAACCATCCACACTGTGACGTCAAATTTGTCTTGTACGTTTGAAGTTTTGACGTAAACATTCGCCGATGGAACACAGCGGCTCAGAGTCCCCCGGAACCAGGTGTCCTGGTTTCCGCCTGCTCAGCTTACCTGCGCGCGAGCCTCGGCGGCGCTCTTGAGCTCCTGTGTCTCGCACAGCTCAAGCTTGAGCTGGCTCAGCTGCTCGCCGGCCCGGGTCAGCTCGTTCCGCAGGTCACGGTCGGACGAGGTCAGCGAGTCGACCTGATCCTGCAGCCGGTCATAGCTGGCCTGCAGAGCCTGCGCAGACATGTGGGGGTCACGAGCGGCACCAGCGTCTCGCAAGGCGGCGAGGAGGGGTGAGTACACAGCGGCACCGGATCCGACTGGGTCAAGGTCGGCAGAGGCGGGTCAGGCTACAACGACAGGTAAACCAAATGGTGAAGGGCACTGACCAACAAGGGCAAGCTAGCAATATTTCAACGATATAGCCCACGCCAGGTAAAAACAATACCACGAATAGCAAGACGCGCCGGAAAGATCTGACTCGCCATACATAATGCCCGGGTAGGCGGCTCGTGCCCGACCATGCCTGACTGCCATCGGTGTAGCCTCCGGTCCTTCCCCTCCCCCATCCCGACCCTCCTCCACGGAGGCCACCCCGCCCACCTGCAGGTTCTGCGCCTGCACGCGCAGCGCGGCCGCCTCCTTCTTGCTGGTGCTCAGCTGGCCAGTCAGCTGACTGAGCTCGCCCTGCGCCTTCTGCCGCGCCTCCGCCTCGGCGGCGCTCTGGTTGGTCAGCTGCACCACCTTCTTCTTCAGCTTGACGGCCAGCGCCCGCAGCTGCGGCGAGCGAGACACGCCGTTGTGGTCGATGGACGTGTACCCAGCGCACGGCACCACGCGATATCGTGCGCCACGACTATGCAGCGAGCGCGAGTTGGCGTCACTACGTCACAGTCGTGCTCGCCACACTGGGACTGGAAGCAGCCGGTGAAGCCAGGAGGTGACTAAAAACCCGACGAATCAAGCTCAGTCCCTGTGCTCTCAGAACAAGCAGACTCCAATCTCCTGCCAGGAGCAGGTGCGGATCACTTCCCGACTTCCCGATGACGCCACGGTCCAACAACACTTGACAGGGGGTGTTGCGGTGGTGCCCCTGCACAGGTGTGACGTCACCAAGCCCCTCCCCGTCTCACCTTGTGGTAGCGTTCCTCGATGCTGTCCTCCACGTCGCGCATGCGCGACAGGTCGTCGGCCCGGCTGAGCGCTGTGCTGGTGCTCAGCGCCTCGCTCTGCGTCTCCGACTGGCGAGCACATGGCATGGGTTCAAATAGCGCCCGGCGCCCGGCACACACAGCTCGGGTTCAGACAGCGCCCGGCACACACAGCTCGGGTTCAGACAGCGCCCGGCACACACAGCTCGGGTTCAGACAGCGCCCGGCACACACAGTTCGGGTCCAGACAACGCCCGGCACACGCAGTTTCGGGTTCAGACAGCGCCCTGCGCACACAGCTTGGGTTCAGACAGTGCCCGGCGCACACAGCTTGGGTTCAGACAACGCCCGGCACACACAGCTCGGCACACATGATACGGTTCACCAGACTTCAACAATGCTCCAGTGAGGTCAGGCGGGTTGGCATTTCCTCGGTAAAGAACCAGCAGAATTAATTTAACACCACGACACTTGTGAAAATGTTCTACTTCTTAGCATTCTGTGATACCAATCATTCAGTGATATATGCACACCATGCAGCGCACAATTCCAACATATAACAATAAAACCGAAAGCATCACTGTATATCCCCAGGTATCTATAACGGCCGCGTAGCGGTCGACATGGACGCATCACCATACATTCTCAGTACATACTGCACGGGTGCCAACGCGCCTACGCATTGAGTTTATATCATAGTATGACCGGCCCAACCAGTACTCACCAGATCGAGTCGGGAGCCGGTGCCTGACTCGTCGGCTTTGACTCGCAGCGGACCACCCTCGGTGTCTTCGGCGCGCGGCGGCCGATTGGTCAGCTCTGCCACCCTCTCCCGCAGGGAGCCGCTCTCTCCCTCTGCCTTGGCCAGATGCGCCTGGACGGCCAACAGCTCCGGCTCCAGTTCCGCCACTCTGCCCCGCAGGGAACCGCTCTCTCCCTCTGCCTCGGCCAGGCGCGTCTGGACGGCCAACAGTTCCGGCTCCAGCTCCGCCACCCTCTCCCGCAGGGAGCCGCTCTCTCCCTCTGCCTCGGCCAGACGCGCCTGGACGGCCAACAACTCCGGCTCCAGTTCCGCCACTCTGCCCCGCAGGGAACCGCTCTCTCCCTCTGCCCCGGTCAGACGCGCCTGGACGGCCAACAGCTCCGGCTCCAGCTCTGCCACTCTGCCCCGCAGGGAACCGCTCTCTCCCTCTGCCTCGGTCAGACGCGTCTGGACGGCCAACAGCTCCGGCTCCAGCTCCGCCACTCTGCCCCGCAGGGAACCGCTCTCTTCCTCTGCCTCGGCTAGGCGCGTCTGGACGCCCAACAGCTCCGACTCCAGCTCCGCCACTCTCCCCCGCAAAGAGCCGCTCTCTCCCTCTGCCTCCACCAGGCATCTCTTAGTGTCCGCGAACTCCGATTCCATCCGCGCCAGCAGTTCCTTAAGGGCGTCGCGCTCCTCGAGAACCTCCGCCTCCCGCCGATCGACGGCAGCTTTCTGATCCCGCAGCTCAAGAAGCTTGGACTCGAGTGCGTGATTCGCGTCCTGGAGTTTCTCAATACGGGACTGCAATGCCTCGTTCGGTTTTTCTAGCTCTTGTGCTTGGACTTTATGAGTTTCATTCTCGTCTCGCACCACCGAATATTGTCTCTCCAGCGAGGAAACTTGGGCTTCGAGGTCCGCTTGTTTCACCTCCTTGGAGCGCACCTCCGCCTCAACCTCAGCGAGTCTCGACTGGAGGCGGTCCCGCTCCCCGCTAACCTCCTCCAGTTCGGTCTGGAGGGATTGAACACGAAGACGGAGCTCTTCCTCGCAGCGCTCCTGATCAACGGGCCGGTTCAGCGGATCGCTGAGACTCGCGCACAGCCCCTCCGAACCGTCTTGACGCGCATCAGCAACATCCTGGGCCTTCAGCTTGGCCTGCAGCGCCCGATTTTCCTCCTCAACTTGCTCCAGCCGGGTGCTGGCGGAGCTGTTGAGCTTCAGCGTATTCAGCTCCGACATCAGGCATCTGTTCTCGCGCTGCACGTCGTCCAGCTGGGCCAGCAGCACTCTGTTCTCGGTCTCCAGCTCCACCTGTCGCGCCTCCGACGCGCCGCCGTGCTCCACACCTGTTGCGGCGTCATTCGCCCCCGCGGCCGCACGCGGGGCCGGCTGGCAGACGGTCGCGACCCGCTGCACCTCAAATGGCTCCTCTCCCGTCACCGCTTCACCGGAACCATCCAGGTGAGTCCCTACAGTGACGTCACCTACGTCACCATCTTCTGCTTCCGCATCTAACCGCTTGCCCTCTTTGGATGCCTCCAGGGAATGTCCATGAATGCCGTTCTGTTCGCCATTCTCCATTGCTTTAATTTTAATATGTTCTGCTTGTTCTTCGAGCTCCTGTATCTTGAACTTGAGGGCCATGTTCTGCGCGTTTAAATCAGCCACTTTTGCGTCGGTTTCTTTCACTAGCTGCTCTCGATTATCGTTAAATGCATTGTTGTCTCTTTCCAAACCGTTTGCCTTTGCCTGAAGAACTCCAATCCGCTCCTCTTGGTCAGCTGATCTAGCTTTCAAGTCGGTGCAAAGCACTTCAAACTCATGCGCTTCCTTTTTGAGAGAGTCGTTCTGTTCGGTTAGCTCATTTACCTGAACTTCCAACTCACGTGCCTTCGTCTTGGACGCATCGTTCTGTTCGGTTAGCTCATTGGCTTGAACTTCCAACTCACGTGCCTTCGTCTTGAACGCATCGTTCTGTTCGGTTAGCTCACTGGCTTGAACTTCCAAGTCACGTGCCTTCGTCTTGAACGCATCGTTCTGTTCGGTTAGCTCATTTACTTGAACTTCCAACTCATGTGCCTTCGTTTTGAACGCATGGTTCTGCTCAATTAACTCACTAATTTGCGCTTCCAACCCATTCACCTTCTTTTCCATGGCATCATTGCGTGCTATTATCTCATTAATTTCCACCTTGCTGTTTTCTATAGTCCGATTCAGCGCAGAGACTTGTCCATCCAATTGGTCCCTCTCTGATGCAAGGTCATCTGCCCTTGTTCCAGCACTCTGCAGCTGCTCCAGTTTAAGATCCTTTTTCCTGCTCTCAATCTGCACACCATCGAGCGCCTCTCTCAGCGTCCCATTCTCTTTCTCCGCCGCATCTGTCGTCTCCTTTAGACGGCCATTCTCCGCCTCCAGCGCGGACAGCGTCTCCTGGCGCTGTTCTGTCTCGCGCCGCGCCACCGCCAGCAGCTCCTCCAGCTGCGAGATGGCGCCGCCCCGCTCCTTCAACGTCTCGTTCATGGTGTTCATCTCCTCCAGCAGCTGGGCGCCGCGCTGCTGCAGCTCCAGCTTGTCGGTCTGCAGCGCCGCCAGCGCCAGCTCAGCGCCCGCCCGTCCCGCGGCGGCCGTGTCCAGCGCGGCCGTCAGCGCGGACAGGCGGCCCGCCGCTGCCGTGAGCGTCCGCTGGCAGGCCGCCCGCTCCGCCTCGGCGTCGTACAGCGGCGCCGAGTCCACGGCACCGGGACTGCCGGCGTCTCCGGGTCCGTCCAGTGGCCCGTCTGTTACGTCTCCGGTCGTGTCATCGCAGACACCTGGAGCCTTCTCGAGTGCCGGGGCGTCTTCTCCGCTACCGTCGGCGGCTGCGCTCGACGCGTCGACCTCCAGCGCCGTCAGCTGGCTAGCCAGCTGGCGCACGGCCTGGTCACGCTGCCGAAGCTCTGTCTCCAGGCGCCGCTCCAGCTCCGCGCGACCCTGGCGCACCTCCTCGAGGCCAGCGACCATCCGCTCCAGGGCGGCCTGGTGACCGCCGGCCTCGGCCGTCAGCCGCGCGTTGTCCTCCCGCAGCTGGCGCAACGACAGCTGCAGCTCCGCCTCGCGGCCCGCCAGCTCGTCCACGCGCGCCGCGCTCTCGGCGCTGGCCCGCTCCAGCGCCGCGCAGCGGGCCGCCTCCTCCTGCTGACCGGCGCCGAGTTCGGCCAGCCGCTCGCGCAGCGCGGCGCCGCCCTCGGCCTCCTCCTGGAGCTGAGTCGCCAGCCGCTCGGCGCGGGCCCGCTCCTGCTGCAGCTGCTCCCAGACGGCGCCCGGCGACAGACCGGCCGCCGCCGCCTCGCCTTCCTCCGGCCCGTCGGCGGCGGCCGCGGCCCGGTCCGCGTCCCGCTCGGGTGGTGGCTCCGTCTGGCAGGCGGCGGCCTGTGTGGCGTCGCCTCGCTCCGTCAGGGCGCGCAGCGCGGCCAGCTCCTCAACAGCCTCGCGCCAGCGCACCTTGAACGTCTCGGCCATCTGCTTGAACGGCAGCAGGTCCTCCTCGACGGCGGCGGCGCGCGCCACGAGCGTCGCCTCGGCGTCGCGCCGCTCGCGGTCGGCCTGCTCGAGGCGGGCGAGCAGCGCCTCGTTGTCAGCCTCGAGCCGGCGGCTGGCGCGCTCCAGCCCGGCCGCGGCCGTGTCCCGCTCGTCCAGCTCGGCCCGCAGCGTCCGGCGCTCGGCCGCCGCCTCCTCCAGCTGGCTCTGCAGCCGCGACAGCTGCGGCGCGGGGCGGTGGGTCAGGCCGGGTCACAGCACCGGCAGCAGGTCACCGGCTAACACGGACGCGACTGCTAGGCCAGAAAGCTAACAGATCCTGACACGTCGGAGAGAACAGACGGCAGGTCCCCGACCGCACGACCAGACCGAGTCGGAGACTGCACTGAACAGGACGGGAACGTCAGCGATCACACAGGAGGGAATACACCACAAGTTCCCGATCACAAGAACCAGGCCGAGTCAGAGACGGCGGGGATCAGAACAGGGACGTCAGTGATCACACAGGAGGGAATACATCACAGGTCCCGGCCACACGAACTAGACCGAGTCAGAGACCGCAGGAATCAGGACAGAGACGTCAGTGACCACACATGAAGGGAACACATCCCGGTTCCCGGCCACACACACCAGACCGAGTCGGAGACCGCACGGAACAGGACAGGAACGTCAGTGATCGCACAGGAGGGAATACGCCACAAGTTCCCGACCACACACACCAGGCCGAGTCAGAGACCGCGGGGATCAGGACAGGGACGTCAGTGATCACCCCGCTCGGGGCAGATCGCGGGAAATATCCATCAGGCCACCCCGTGACAGGTCACCGACCGCACAGTGACAGGTCACCGACTGCGAGTGAGAGACAGGTCACGGACCATATGCACCAAGGCAGGTCAGAGACCACGCACGCCAGCGCGGGTCAGAGATCACAGATACTAGAGCACGACGGAGTAGACCTGTGTGAACAGATTCACAGCAGCTACAGAAAATAAGGTCACAGTGCCTGACCAGGAGCAAAGGCCAATCACAACAGCCTACAGTTCCATTGAGATAATGGCAATACCATCACGGAAAGTGACACACAATAGAGCACGGGAGTGCCGCTGATATGCACATACCTGTTCATCAAGATCATTCTTTTCAGCTTTGAGTGTTTGCAAATTGGCGTCCTGAGACGACTCGTTTGATATCAACGCTTGTCTGAGGACCTCGGCTTGCTTTACGGCATCTGGAAACGAACGATAAAGATGTCTTATGCATGAAGTAAGATTTTCCACTATTTCTATTTGGTCGTGTTTTTAATGTCATGCAAGAAAAAGGGCGATGCGCTAATGTCGACAAGTGTCAAGTTAAATATGGTCACTTTTGCGCTCTTTTTGGTCGTAGTGCAACGAAATATAGTGTTGTCATGTTGACAGTACTACTGCCACATTCTACCCCACCTCGAGGCCCCTGCTAAGGCCTCAATTTCAAATGGTTATTGCAGCACAAAGAGAGCACCCCCAGATTTACCTGTAAAGGCAAAAAGGCAATGAGCCCCGGTTTTTCGGCACCGAAATATCACATGAAAAAGAACCGACCCTCTTCGTCTGGCCATGCCTCATAGATAGACAGGCGAGAGATCTCCTGGGTCCATTCTGATCTGAAATAGAGTTCCTAACTAAACATATTCAAAACTGCTAGTAAAAACCAAAGTGGGAACTGAATGTCCAATTTTACAACCCAGGAAGGAAAATATCCTGTGGCCGGGAAAATGTCCCTCGGCCTCATCAGTGGTTACACACAAGACAAATATTAGAAGCTTGAACATGATGCACAACACTGGAATCATGCTTGATCGTTTGAATCAATATGCATGCACCCAATTGCTTCGGAGTATGCCATAGCCAGGTGGCAACAGCCTCTTAAAAATCACATTCGGTGGAATTGAATAGAAAGCAAACAACGGTGGACTCTGGTATGTGATCCCTTTCTCTCATGAATGACAATCGATTGACACTAGTCGCACTGGGTAAGGGGCACATAAACCTACAGGCATTTCAAGACACTTGCTTCAGATCGGGTTGATGCCAAAGCGTGCTAGTCATGCTGTGCATTTTGCTGAAACAGCGCATCACCGCGTCCACCAATCGCAAAAGTTCGGCTGGGCCGGGCCTTCACATGTAATGCCATTTTTGGTTTGAATCCCAAACTGAAGTTGCTCAGCACCCATAAGATGCCAGAATAGCTGTGTAAAGTTGCTGTTTCCAGATTTTTACAGCACTCAACATGAATGCCTGATGCTATTTGGAGAAGCTACAGTTAGGTGCCTGTTCACATTTTACAAAGCATGTTTGGTTGCTTGCAAAAATACAAACATCATCCTCCTACATAGTGCAAAGGTCATGCAGAGGTAATTGAAAGCCCTTTCTAGTCACATCCCTAGATATCCCTTAAATAAAATTATAAAAATACAATGAACAAAAGAAGACCACCTAAATAATATGCCAAAGTAATAGCTAACCTGTTAAACAGTGCCCTCTATTCACCCCTACTTCCATAAGTCGATCTCTGCAGTAATGGGGCTTACCATCTTTTGCCACTTTAGCCTTGTGGGCAATAGAGAGCAGTGATCTGCATCTCTGGATGAGCTCTTCCCTTGTGAGTGCCTCGATCCTGGCCCTGGTGGTCGGCGTCGTCACCCCCGACGCAGGCCGGGAGTCACCGCAGTCCTACCATGGCGAGACCCATGTTGACATGGTGTCACCACACCAAACACTGACAGGATCCATTGGCTTTGCTTCCAAAATGGCCAAGAGACTGGACTTATAGTTTTGTTAGTAGACTGAACATTTGTAAAGATACCATCTGCCAGCCAATACAACCTGTTGGTTCCAGTGGCTCAGATGGTTAGTGTCTGCTTTAGGTTTACTCCACCATGGCATACAGGTTGCATGAGGCACTGGCTATCTTCTCCTGATTGAGACAGGCTGCCACCAGCTATGTTAAACATTGCATGATGTTGAAGGGCAGACAAATTGATGCACACCACAGCATGTTAACTTTGATGCCAGACATTCATCCAATCAGAAGCTTTGGACTGAACTTCAAAAACACAAACCGTTTTTTTTAAAATAAAAGTACTATTCAGCAGGTGCACCTACCACCTAACACTGATAAGCATTCACACTGCTCCAACCAGGTCCAGCAGCAGCCTTCAATGCCACTCACAGCTACTGTGATCAAACAATCATGGGAAGCATGGGATATTTGATCCGTTCATGTAGTAAGCATATAAGCAATCCTTTATTACAATTCCTCATGTGCTTTCCAGAAAAAGGTGCTGTCAGAATACAGACAGGAGATTTTAGGGAACACAATATATCAAATGATACAGTTAACTTTCTTGAAGCAAAGATAAATGGTATCTGTGGGAGGCATGCAAATGTTCAAAGTAATGTGTCTATAGTACATACTTACACTCATAGATAAAGCCTGTTCTGTGAACTATGTGGTGCTGCACATGAAATACATTATTTCATACTATTGCCGGCTGTGCTGCAACAAGAAAATAGGTCAGTAAGTCATGTTGGGTTAAATCAGCATATCAACTCTGTGATAGACCATTTCATGAGAAGCCGCTTGTGGATCACATGTTGACATGGTGGAGGGGAGGGGGCAGCGGCATGGTTCCATCCAATACAGTGCAAAGGCACAATTCTCACTATGAAATCTTTGGTTCTTTATTACAGCACACACTAGATTTGCCATATGTTACCTTATGATGATTAGGAATTCAAAAGGCCACTAGGCCTGTCAATCACTATCTGAGTTCCCATTTAGGCAACCCAACAGTCTTAAATTAGGGATGCAGTTGGTGTGAGACATCGTGCATGATGTCACCCTAGTAAAAATTGAGCCTAGATTTAAAATGGTCCACTGAGGTTGATGATACATCTGCAGCATTTACACTAGATTTACATCACAGTAAAGACATTACCTTTCCCAAACACCAAACCTCACCTGACTTGCTCCATCTGTGGAGGAAATTCATGCACCTACAAGTGCTAGTTAGCTGCTGCTTGGTTTTGATCTCACGAAAATCATAACCAAATACAGGTTACCACTTAATCTTGTTGGAAACATGTTTGCATATATATATATATATATATATATATATATATATATATATATATATATATATATATATATATATATATATTTCAAAGGCAAAGCCTGTCAGTAGGTACCTTTCAGACAGTAATGATGTGCAATGAGGCAATGATCCATGTGTGCTGTATAAAGTCAGCTTGGCTTGCAAATATCAATACCACACAGTCAATCTCATTTATATTTTTTGAAAAACAGAAGTGTAGTAACATAAACTATTACACAAGCACAAGACAGAAATAGGGGAAGCACTATAAATTGTAGCTGTTTACATTGTGGCTGGCATAGCACCAGAAAAAACCCAAAGATGGCCAGACTGAAAAAAATACACATTATGCCAAACATGTCAGGTGTGGCAACGACCTCCACACATGTTCAACACACGTAGATCATAATGCTGATCGTTCCATTTGGCTCAGCCAGTTGGAATCACCACCAGTTTCAGCACATAGAGAGCTTACATTCCAAGGTGTTTCAACAGTGTGCAGTACATTTCACACAAAAAAGGCGTCAACATTTTCCACCCAAAAATGATTTGACAGTGCGGTACAATTTGGCTTGGTCAACGCTCGGCAACGCGAGCGCGACGTTCAACACACCGATGTCTCGTAAGCGTCCGGTTCATTGGATGGATCTCCTACCTACTGGCCATAAAATATTACATGCGCACGTCACGTACCATGCTATTCGTTTACCATCTTGCACGCGGTTGGCCTATCATCATCCTACGCACAATTCGGCCTTCCAAACAAATGACTGCAGGGACTGTTTGTTTTGTTTACGTGGAAATAACTGGTCGGCGCATAAAAGACATATCTACCGCGGTTGGTCTCTTCTGTGTTCGCTATTGGCAGCGGTTAACCGCATAATCAGGAGCCATGACGTCACAACAAGGTGTCTACACATTTTATGTGTGGTATAAACGTATTTTGCCTTACTACTCTGTATATGCTCACCTTATGCAGATGTGAGCACTATTACAATTTCGGAAACAGTTTGGCAAAAGGGTTATTACGGTTGACTGCGCATCAAGCCTCAATTAGCATAAGCATTACATATGCGGCTGATGCTCAGGTTTTCATGCGTTGGGTTCAAATGATTGTTTTTTGTGGGCATATAATAGTACCCCATGCAACGTAAAAAAATGCCGCTTCAGCCACAGATTACGCTTAGTGGAGCATTGATTTCGTCACGATCTTATTATTAATATCAGCTTCGCCAGCGGTCCCTCATTTGATGACGCATAATTGATTTTTGTGACTATGCCAGGAGAAGCTGCCTAGTGCCTTTTATGTTTTACCCCAACGGCAACAGGCCGGCGTTGCCTTCTGCATTTTCTTGCTGTTCCGCGACAGCGCGCGGACGATGGTCGAGTGGCCCGAACCGTGTTACTTTATCCGATCCTCTCATCCTGTCTTTTTCATCCTGAATCCTCGCGACGCCCAGCTGATCTGGGGCAGGCTGCATGCATCAGCCATGAGTGGGCCGAGAGGCCTCCCAGGGGGGAACCCCGACCCAGGCCCAGCGCCCACCCCGGGGGTCCTTGCGCGGACTAAAGCTTGGCGGCTGTCCCCCCCCCCCTTAGTCGCATGCAGTTCTGCTCCATCCTTATCCATTATCTTTCATTACATAGCCCTGAAATGACCATTTCTGGTCGAAAGGGCTCTAATCGAAACAATCAAGCAACCAAACGACGTTACCGTGGTGGCGAATATATATATATACATGTGTGTGTGTGTGTGTGTGTGTGCGTGTGTGTGTGTGTGTGTGTGTGTGTGTGTGTGTGTGTGTGTGTGTGTGTGTGTGTGTGTGTGCCATGCGTATTGCAGCGCTCTCGACAAGAAGTTAGCGTGTGTAGTAGTAATGCCTTGAGCGCTGCAAGCCTCCCGATACGTGAAATTCGTCCTGGAGTTGCAGCGCGTAATGTCAGTTATTTCAGTTATGGCATGTTACGCAGAATGTTAGCTAAGTTAGCTAAGTTTCTTGAGTTTTCTCACTTCATTCTTAGGCGCCATCTCCCACGCTGGCCGTCGACGCAGCTAGGAGTACTGGCTCCTCATTTTCAGCGATATCGTTATGCTCACCCGACGGATTTTTGACAGACACCAAACGGCAATCACGAGATTCCCAAAGCCCAACTTGCATCAAGGCAACAAACGCCGTGACTTACTCAACAATTGGGTGAAGTTTCTGCATGGTTTTTGAAGTTATGTGCTTGTTTGTGATGTTGTGTAATGCATACTGTTTTGAACTCGCTACGAACGTCAGTCAGCGAGGTAACAGGACCACTTCGTCGGATTAACGACGTTGATGAATATATCGCTTTGGTCGTTAAGTTAGCTGTGCGTTTAGCAAACGGTAGGGGGCGGGATTCGACCGTCTTATTTGCCTCCCGCGTTGATCCTGTTATTGGGCTTTGCTACGCGCCCAGCCGCTCAGTCTGCCCGGCGTCGCCCGCCTTTCATTCTAGCACGAAGGGCGGCCACGGCACGGCAGGCCCAAATAGTCTGGAGATACTGACTGTACTCAGCAAAACGACCTCACAAAAAGAAAGTTCCTTGGGAGTAATACGGCTACCGGCAATAATCATGTTTGCTTGAATTAATTATGCGTGCCATTGTTGGTGGTGGCCGTTGGCTTATTGGCCCGCTGCACTGTATGGATTCGCAGGTAATTACCATTGCGGCCATTCCCTTACATGGACCAACTATCTGGGGCGACTGCACATGGGGGCAAAACATGGGCTCGCTGGCATTGCTTTTACAAAACATATTTTTTCGTCCTAACATGGGCTTCACACAGTCTGCTCAGAGGATCAGTCTGCGATGATCAGACTCTCTCAATTATGAGCGGAACCGTGCAGTCGTACACCACGTATTCCTTGGAATTTGTCTCCAGTAAATAGAAACCACCTGGTGCAGGGCTCACCGCAGTACCACCACGTAGCCCCCACCCTCTCTCGTCACTGAATAATGCCGGGATACCTCATCGGCACCCCGGAATCCTTCTCGGCTCGTAATATTTAGTCGCCGGAGTCTCCCATCGGCCCAAAATCCTCAGTCGCTGGAATCCCTCATCGGCACGCCGGCATCTCCCATCGGCTCGTAGTGAACCTCGCGTTCTGGTGGAGTCTATGGCATTATTCTAACAACGGTATTATTTGATTTTTCTAACAACAGTACCATTACCATTCACGGAATTCACTGCCGGTGCTAAGGGTCAGTTACTTATGGTTGTCTTATCGAACCCACTTCTGTGGCTACGTGTCAATTCACCAACAGAATTAGCAACCAACTTTTCCGACAGCCCAACGCACTTTTTGGACCCCCACATTTTGAGAGGCGCGAGAAGGCAGCTGAAAAACGAATTTCGCGTTCTGCGAGTCCCAAGTCGATCAACGGTACTCCACAGGTGCTACTGCCACTTCACCAGTGGCCAGCGACGTGCAAAAGCGCGTCCCACCTCACGTATGAGCCGTCGGGAGATCGACCTACAGCCAACTGCCTGATTTCTGTAAGGAGGGGGACCTTTCAACCCACGGCTAGACAACTGCCTACGTCCCGCTTAATACGTTCTCCGTCGCTGCCCGGGGGAGTCATAACGCTAGGCGTCTGTGACGCATTTGGCCCGTGGTGACAAAAGTCATTTCACTGCACTCGTAGACAATTCACAGCCGCCACAATCTGTACGCAGCATATGAGCTACGCAAGATAGTAATATTAACGTCAAAAGTATGGACCTGACACGACGCGTCCTGCCTCATAGCACAAAATTCAGGCCACACATAATTCACTGATCTGCTATTTTCCAACAAACTTCATTGAAACGCATAGACGAATGCCAGGCAGGGGTCAGAATACCATTTAACGATACACATTAGCGACATACTTGCATATGCGATATGCTAATTACTACGATACGATGCAAGCACGAAAGGAGTGTACGACCTATAACGTATTAGAAATAATGTGCGAGTACGCAAGCTCATCATTCCTACAGAACTTTCCTTTTTTAAGGTGTGTTAATGCAACGCAAGGTAATGGAACATGAAGGGGCCGGGATCTCAAAGACTCGCTTAAGGGTCGGCGATTCCTCCTCCGGGCTTACATTTTGCAGAGGTGTGGGCGCCGAGTGACAGGCCGATATGGTCTCCCATCACCGCGTCCGTCTCAGTGTCCCTCCGACAGCCGACTGCTGCTGCTACGGTACTGTCTGAACGTCCCCACACTCCGACGGGGTCTTTAAAGGGCCGCCCTCTGTTGATCGTCCGGGCGCGCATGTCTGGAACGAGCGCTTGGGCCAAACGTAACAAACAAAACCGTACTCGCACCTTGGAAAAAGCAGCATCTGTCACGCGGAGAACAGATATGCCCCACATTACGGACGCACTGGCCCCCTATTAAACGATCTGAACTCCATCCGTAAGGAATACTTAGCAAATCCAACTGCAGCAAAGCCAAACACAGGTACTGGGCTTCACACAGTCGTACAGTCATTCAGTCAGTATGCCCTAAAGGGCCGCCCAAATCGCGTCGTACGTTATAGCCCTTGTCCAATATTCCGCACCCCCTCCCCTGGTTACGCACTGGTTACCTTCGACGAACCGCCTCCCCCTGGTAACGCCGTATCAGGCGTAACATCCCCAAAATGGGTCCATCTGGCGCCTAACTGAGCTAAGAATACGATACAAATAAGGGATTCTTTCCTCTTCATGGGGAAAAAATTCACGGTGCCCGGAATTTAGGTTTTAAATCGTTAATACCTAGCGTTTTAGCACTAGCATTATCCACAACCACATCACCTGAGCGTAAACTTCGAAAATCCCCTCCCATCCCCTGCCATGTTTTCGCTACGATCTTTCAACACTCGCCATCTCCCCCATGCGTGACGTAATGTACGGACGGCCGCCAAGGTACATCATTTAAAGATTCGAAACCCAAATAAGGTGGTACTTCATAGTACACCGTAACATGCGTGGGGATGGGGCTGTGCTGGCGCAGCTTTCACCTGTGCACAGGTGGCGCCACAGCTGTCGCGCAATTGCAGGGGTGACGTCCGCCGTTCTCCTCAACCCCGGACAGCGAACGACCCCGCCGCCTCAACCAGCCAATGCAGCCGAATAGCCACCAGCGGATGACGTCACCGACCTGCCAACTCGTCCGCCATGTTCTCGTCCACACGACGACCTTGGATCGGCCGGGGAAAGTCGGCGGCGTATCGCGGGATGGGTGCCTGCCGTTCCCGGCAGGCGATCCCCGGCCCGGTACCAGTCCAAGCACCTCGCTGCTTCGCTACGTATCACGGCTAACGGCGCCAGAGCCTGGGCTCTCGCGTTAAAAAGTTCCGTGAGATTCCAGGCAAAGATGATCTATCAGATCGCAGACAAAGCAACACGACTGACGGGCTTCGGCACACTCGTAGGTGATGCCCCACGTATATTTACACGCGGTCATGGCGCAAACACGGCGACTTCGATGATATAATTCACAAGGGTGAGACGACTGCGACCGAGATGTCGTCCAGCATTCATTCCCGTCAAAGCAAGCATAGGGCTCATCCGGAACACTGTCACGAGAACCGCCTCCCAAGCTACGGCGCAGTCAATGACGAAACGTGCCCCAGTGACGAAGCTTTTCAAACAACCCTACATCCCTGCCACTCCGAGGATATCCCACAGGATCACGTGGCCACTCTTCTACGGCACGTCTCACAAAAAGTACTCAGACAGTCAAAACTAGCACGCGTGTTTTAAAATGTCCGGCACGAATGTGTAGCTTTCCTAACAAGCCGCATTTTGAGCAATCGTTGCCAATTCACGGCCAAAAAACTCCCACCAGTCTTGCGGTCTGTGACATCACAACATTGAAGCTGAAGTCAGAACCGAACGCACCTCTCCGCGACGCCCCACCCCAAATCTAGGCCTCCCGCTTGACGACCGGCCGGATCACCATGTCCTGGAACAGCAGGCCCAGGTCGATGTGGGAGTAGTTGCTGAGCCGGAGCGCGGCGTCCACTTCGGCTTGCAGCGTGCCGTAGGCCGCCTCCAGGGCCGCGAAGCCAGCCGCGCGCCGCGCCGTCTCTGTGGTGAGAGCGGGACCACGTGAGAACGGGACCGCGCGGGGGACCGCCAGCGAGCGGCATCTGCGGTCGGCAGCGCTACGGACACGATCCGAGCGGGCTGGCACGCGATCTTACGGTGAGCGAACTGTGTCCGAAGCGCGGACATCAGACGCCAGGTCTTCTGCTCACGGCGCCACCACACAGGCGCGCGTGGCGCTCGGTCGTCATTGTCAGAATGAGAAAGATGCACACGCAAAGAGACACGTAGCGAGACAAAAAGGCTTTCACACACGGGACGCGTCTCACGGGATAGGAGCTACCATGGGCAACTCGCGCTATGCGTGATAATCGCTGGCACATCACAGGGGTGGTCGTGCTAACAGACGCAAATCTCACTTGGAGCCTGGAGACAGATCGAATGCGCTGGAGACATGCGGTCTGTCACAAGGGCACGTTCAACACCGGACGACATTCGTTACTTTACCAGGACTTGACTATACGCTCTAAAAACAGCAGCCCTCTCCTGATATCGTTGGATATTTAGTGGTGAAATTGGAGACGTGCGGCGGGCGAACTTGGAAAGCTGCTCAGTGGGGAGCCTTTGCTGTTGGACAGCGCGCAGAAGAATGCTCCGTAAACGATCGATGCCGATGCTCAAATGTTAACTCCACACAAAGCGATATGAGTCGATCTGTTCTAGCCCGACTTACAGCTGCGTCATCAACCGGCGGACACTCTTCCGGCCTCTGCAGAAACAACGCACGAGCTGAGACTGTAACCTCCGGTAGGTTATCGAGGAAATGACCTCTCTGGCAACGCAGCCTCGCTCGTGCGTGGTCAGGCACTGACGCCTGAATACACGGCGAGAGCGCATGCGAAACGCTACTCACGCTTCTGTTTGACGTCGAGATCATCCAAGGCCTTCTTGAGGTCGAACATGTGCTGGTAGAAGCACAGCTGATTATACAGGGCTCGGTCGTCATACTGGGGATGCAGAAAGCGTACGCGTCAGCGAAAACCTCGCGGAAATCTCAGCGTCCTGGGCTCGTGGGCGAGTCAGGACTTCAGGACAATCAGGCGAGGTCTGACAGCGGGAGCGAGCACAAGGTGACAATGACACATCGTGAGATTGTAAGCAGGAGTTTCCAGTGCACACCCACGAGAGAATAAATGGCGCAATGCTAGTAATCCAGAGCTGAGCGCCCCTCCCGGGACACACTTCGGGACGGACCACGCCACAATGTACACGGGAACGAGGTGCCCCCCCCCCGCCCCCCCCCCCCCACACACACACACGGCGCGCCCGGCCCACGGACTCACCTTCGGTATGAGCACCGCCTTGTGACACAGCTCACAGACGGGGAATCCCCGCTCGAACGCGAACGGTATGCGGGTGGTCTCGTGCGGGCAGCCGGGATCCTCGCAGTAAAGCACCCCCTGTCAACAGGCCGCTGTGGTCGGGTGGCTGACACGGGACGCGGCAGAAGTCTGCTGCGACCGAACGACACCGCGTTTAACAACCCTTAGGGTCGTTGAACACAGTGCCGTTCGCTTATAGTTAATGAGAGTCGAACAGGGTGCTCAACGACCCTAAGGGCCGTTGAGCAGTGTCGGTCAATTTAGCACATATGGACAACGCGATGACCAGACTCAGGTTCTTATAAGTGACTATGGTGACGTAAGTGATGTAGGAAATACGGCCTTGGTGCTATCCAGATACTGGGAACGAGCAGTTGTACTGCCCCAAGTTGAACACAGCTAGCTCAGTGATGTTGTGCGTGCAGCTTACAAGAACCGCAGACAAAGCAAAGCCCGCCACATTTCAGTGCTGACCAAGATGCACAGGACCTCCCCTGCGACGCCGACACCACGGTCATCGCACTTGGGACGAAGCTCCCTCCCTGCCAGACCCCGCCACTCGACGATCCGGCGGGCCCGCCGGCCGGACCGCGGCGCCGGCCGGACCGTGGCGCCGGCCGGGCCGCGGCCCCGCCCCGCCCGCAGCCTGACCTGCAGGTAACGATGTATGGCAGACCGGATGTCCATGCGCAGCTTGTTGACGATAAGCGGCAGGTACTGCACGGGCACGGCGTCGCATGCTGCGTTCTCGCAGCGCGCCAGGCGCAGTTCCTGCCCGCCCTCTATGAACACGCCGGCGAACTTCTGCTCCTGCTGGCAACCGACACAGCGCACCAGGAGCGGCGCGCAGGCGGCGTACCGCTGCGCCTCCGAGAGGCCAGCCAGCGCGCGCTGCGCCTCGTCGCCGTCCTCCTGGCGCGCCACGTGCTGTCGGAACTTGCTCGGGTCCAGTCCTGTAACGAGCCGGAGTTATCAGCCACCCGGGCGACGCGTCAGCCGGAGCAGCGGCGGCTGGCCGCCTTCACAAAACCGCCCAATTGCTTGGGATCACGTTTGTGGAACCTTGCATCGATTCATGTGGACGCCGATTTCGCCGTGGCAGAAGAACATCACGACGTCTCGCAAGACATCAGAAAGCAATGGTATGAACGAGGCGCCCACCTAGCGCGCTTCCACTCTGTGTTCAGTTAGGAACAACATGGCTGCTCTCATTAACTACCCCATCTATGGGCGCCCTATGACCAACGCAGTCGGCGCGCGTCAAGACCTGATCACCCTCATCAGAACTGCCACATTGCTGCAGTGGTCCGCCACTTGCACGTCTCGTCAGAGCGCCGCGCCCGCTCCCGCTCCCGCTCTCTCCGTCACCGGCCGCTCCGCCGTCGCGCGCCGCCCTGCCCGCACGCACTCACCGAGCGCCTGCGCGAGCCGGGCGGCGTCGGTGCCCTCGAGCGGCTCCACCAGCCGGCTGACGACGGGGTGCACCTGGCCGGCCAGGTAGTACTCGGTGTCGACGGGCAGTGCGCCGCCGCCGGTCGCCACCTCCTCCAGCGCGTAGGCGCGCTGCATCGGCTCCAGACCGCTGCCGTCCTGCCGGGCGCGGGGGGAAGGGGCGGGGAGGGTAAGCCGCCGGGTCGAGGACGCGTCACCGTCCCGGTCTGAGGGCGTGACCGTACACTTGGTCAAAGAACACGCTGCCGGATAGTCAGCGTGAGCATGATCCCAGCCCAGACGTCATCAGCACACCTGCCCGCATCCCGATAATGCCTCAGCGCCTCGCGCAGGCGCCGACGAGGGCCCGTTTTTGTGCGAGTCGAGCCCCCTGCTGCGAAACCACATCTGATCTGTACTTCCCCCTGCTGTACCCTCCAGGCACCAGATCACATGGTGCCAATTGGGGGGGGGGGGGGGGGGGCGCCAACCACGCGGCGCACAGCCGTCTGAATCGTACCACAGCGCTCCGAGCGCGGCCCGCCCGGCCCCGCGGAGCCTCGGGCGGCAGGAGGCCCCGGCTCCGCAGAGCCTCGGGCAGCACAGGGCCGCCCGGCCGCGGCCCCACCTTGCAGATGATGTACTGGACCGTGTCACCACGCCGCAGCTTCTTGCCGCCGCGCGAGTTCACGCGCAGCGCCACGTTAACGTGCGCCTGGCCCTTCTTGTCGGCGTACTCTTCCGGGTTCTTCTTCAGCTGGGGGCGGGGCGGGGTCGTCAGACGGTGGAGGCGAGGGAAGGCGGAGCGTTGGGCGGGGCGGAGTCATCAGGCGTGGAGGCGGGGGAAGGCGGAGCGTTGGGCGGGGCGGAGTCGTCAGGGTGGAGGCGAGGGAAGGCGGAGCGTTGGGCGGGGGGGGTCGTCAGACGGTGGAGGCGAGGGAAACGGAGCGTTGGGCGGGGCGGAGTCGTCAGGTAGAGGCGGGGGAAGGCGGGGTTGGGCGGGGCGGAGTCGTCAGACGGTGGAGGCGAGGGAAACGGAGCGTTGGGCGGGGCGGAGTCGTCAGTAGTGAGGCGGGGAAGGCGGGGCGTTGGGCGGGCGGAGTCGTCATACGGTGGAGGCGGGGAACACGGAGCGTTGGGCGGGGCGGAGTCTCAGGTAGTAGGCGGGGAAGGCGGAGCGTTGGGCGGGGCGGAGTCGTCAGGCGGTGGAGGCGGGGAACACGAGCGTTGGGCGGGGCGAGTCGTCAGGCGGTGGAGGCGGGGGAAGTCGGGGCGTTGGGCGGGGCGGAGTCGTCAGGCGGTGGAGGCGGGGAAGGCGGAGCGTTGGGCGTGCGGAGTCTCAGGCGGTGGAGGCGGGGGAAGTCGGGGCGCGGGAGATGAGCTCCACTGGCGACGGCACAGCACGGATGTGCCGCACTACCTTCAACCAGATCAGACCCGGGCTACCGAATGACTATCATACAACGCCCACGGCAAGCAACGCTGGCGGATAGGCAGGAAAGAGTCAAGTGAATGAGTGCTGGCTTTACATAACAAATGCAACTACGGCCGGCATTTTGTCACGTGTTTTTATTCCGCATTGCTGCTTTTACGTTGGCAATGATTTCGGATAAAATCGAGGCTTTCAAACACAACTCCTAAAGTTCAAAATCCTGCGCCGGCTGGTGCACGCGTCGCCCTACTCCTACATTCGGACCACAACGTCCCAACCGGCAAAATTCGTCCCAAACAATCACGCCAAGGTCATCGTGCACAGCCCGGTCCCGGCCAGCGCCTGACGGCGTCGAGGGTGCGGTCCGGCGGCTGACCTCCTTGGTAATAGCCAGGTCCGCCAGAGGCACGTCGCCCTGCTCCAGGCGCGCCCGCACCGCCTCCAGGTGAGCATGGATCCGCTCCAGCTTCTCGTCGTGCTCCAGCGCCGAGAAGATCTGGTCGATCACGTACCTGGGCACGCATCGGGGAGGGGGAGGGGCTGGCGTCACTGGCCGGGCTCGAAGCACGGGCAACACACTGGCGGCCCACAGGCACGGGGCGAGGGGGGGACGGGGACGGCGTGCGTTCTACATCGGTGTGAATTATTCTCCGCATGCCCATGGAGGAATGATATGCGGATATCGCACGCATAAACGTAACATGGTGACGTAACACAGGACAGTCAGGCTAAACCGAAACGAATGAACGAAGACGAGACAGCCGGGCGCAGCCATGAAACGAAGCCGTCCTGAGGCTATCAACGTGCGGCATACACAGACAATGGAGCGTCAGCACCATGTGGCATAGTACGCAGGGCACGGCGTGTCTCCATTCCTTCCCCGGCCGGAGCCGGAGGGGCGGAAGGGGCTCACATGCCGCAGCTGGCCGAAATCTTGCTCCAGTCCCGGCGCACGATGTCCAGGCCCTTCAGCTCGCGTGTGTACTGGATGACACCGTCAGGGCCGCGGCTAGCCGCCACCGCCGCGTACTTCTTCTTCTTCAGCAGCAGCATGTAACGGTACAGGCCGTCCACGTCCAGCTCCAGCAGCTTGTACAGCTTGTTGACCTCACGTTTGATCTGAAGGCGCGGGCGGGGGTGTCCAACGGAAATTCACACGGCTGAATATGGCCTCGGACATTCGTGGCTCGAGCTTGGGAATGGATGATCCTCCAACCGGCTAGACACAGATCGGAGATCGTGATCGATCTTCGTAAGATTAATGTTATATCCGCTAAAGCATAAAACGATTATGCATCACAGTTAATAAAAGTATACAACATAAGCAGGCGTGGTTCTGTGAAATATCGCAGGCGGTCACCGGGAACTCGTCAAGCTCTCTAGTTTGACTTGAATTTCAGCATCTTAAGCGCCACCATCGGAGACAGCCCATGCAAACCCCATCCATGTCTCCTTCATCCGTCATACAGCCATCCACTCGGCCGCGCTCCAGCCGCATCCCCCCCCCCCCCTCCCCCTGCCTCGCCCCGTACCTCTTTGCCGAGCTCCATGACCTGGTCAAAGTTGAGCTGGCGCGAGTTGATCATGATGGAGTCGGTGTCGCCGTACACCACTTCCAGGTCCATGCGTTCCACCAGCGACTTGGTCTGCAGCAGGATGTCGCGGCCCTTGGCTGCGGCCGGAGGGGAGGGGGCCGAGTCAGACGGGCCACCCCGGACGGCCCTTGGCTGCGGCCGGAGGAGGAGGGAGCTTAGTCAGACGCACCACCCCGGACGGCCCTTGGCTGCGGCCGGAGGAGGAGGAAGGAGCTCAGTCAGACGGCCACCCCGGGCAGCCCTTGGCTGCGGCCGGAGGAGGAGGAGGGAGCTCAGTCAGACGGGCCACCCCGGACGGCCCTTGGCTGCGGCCGGAGGGGGAGGAGGGAGCTCAGTCAGACGGCCACCTCGGGCAGCCCTTGGCTGCGGCCGGAGGAGGAGGAGGGAGCTCAGTCAGACGCACCACCCCAGGTGAGGTGCGTGGCGATCAGGGCCGCGCTGACGAGTCGGTGTTGAGGGAGCAGGTGCGAGCTGCATTTGCGCGGGTCTAAATATGGCACTGAACGCCCTTAACGATAGAGCATGGTCTAGCAGCCCGGGACGGTATTGGTGTCCAACACACATCCATCCGCCCGGCAGCACAAGACGACCGCGCGCGGCCTTATGAGCTAATGCCAGGACGCGTGACAGCGCAAAGTTGCGCCACTCGTCCTGTATGGCCCACGTGCCGACAGCCCGTACCGAGCATATCCCCCCCCCCCTCCCCGCGCCCCGTGGCAGCCTGCAACCCCCGGCAGGCGCACTCCCCCACCCCAATCGCCGCCGACCTGTGATGAGCGCCGCCAGATGTTTGGCGTAGAAGCGGGACGACTCGAAGCCGAGGCAGCCGTACATGCTGTTGGCCGTCAGCTTCAGCGCCTTCTGTCGCACGTCCAGCTGGCGGCGGCGACGACGGCGGGGTCAGGGACAGGCACGAGCTGAGCACCACACGGCGACGGCGGTGTCAGGGACAGGCACGAGCTGAGCACCACACGGCGACGGCGGGGTCAGGGACAGGCATGAGCTGAGCACCACACGGCGACGGCGGGGTCAGGGACAGGCACGAGCTGAGCACCACACGGCGACGGCGGGGTCAGGGACAGGCACGAGCTGAGCACCACACGGCGACGGCGGGGTCAGGGACAGGCACGAGCTGAGCACCACACGGCGACGGCGGGGTCAGGGACAGGCATGAGCTGAGCACCACACGGCGACGGCGGGGTCAGGGACAGGCACGGGCTGAGCACCACACGGCGACGGCGAGGTAAGGGACAGGCACGAGCTGAGCACCACACGGCGACGGCGGGGTCAGGGACAGGCACGGGCTGAGCACCACACGGCGACGGCGGGGTCAGGGACAGGCACGAGCTGAGCACCACACGGCGACCGCGCTGGTTCGTCGCTAACCCAGTGAGCCGACCGCAGTCATTCGGCCAGCTGGCAAAGCTCCTGTCTGATGGCGAGTACAACTGCATAAACTCTGACCATCCGGGAGATGAGCCAGCTGTAATCTCACCACATCAGCGCGAAGTGCGTGTCTCAGGCGAGCTGGCAATAAGGAACAGGCCGTCCACTGTCACTGTCGGGTCCCCGCTGTGATCGCGCGCGCGCGCTGCGCGCGCCACCGTACACCGAACGTTTCGCTGCATACCTGGAGCGTGTCCTCGGGGTTGGTCTTGGGGTCCTTCATCAGCTTCTTGACCTCGCGCCGCCGCTCCACCAGCTTCTTGATCTCCAGCGGCAGCACGCCCGTCTCCAGGTCGTCGGCCGGCATGTCCAGCGCCACCTCGTCCCCCTCCTGAGGACGCGGCAGCGTGCACTACAGCGGGACTCCGTGGAGGTCTGTCCTGGACCGCAACGGCGTCGCGGGATGGAGGCCGCAGCCTACGAGGTCATATGGTGTCCGGCATACAGCGACTGCAGACCACTTCCCAGGACCTGACTCCAGACGGCGGTAACTGTGCAACAGCTGAGCACGTCCTCGCCCGTTCGAACATAGTGTCCACATAGACTTACATGACACCAGAGGGCGGGCATATTTTCCGAAATAAAATACCGCGTAGTCTCATCACGAGCTACGCGAAAGCCCTGGGCGAAACACCGTGCCAGAGGCACCGCGGAGCCTGCGGAACCCCAGCGTTTCAGTCAGCACCAACCTCGTGCTGCGCGGCCGGCAGCCGCGGCAGCGTGGTGAAGCAGATGTTGTACTCCTGGATGATGCTGGGGTAGAGCGAGTTGAAGTCCATGAGCAGGATGTAGCGGTCGTAGAAGCCCTTCTTGGGGTCGAGCACCAGCCCGCCGCCGTACTTGGGCTTCCGGCGCGCCCTCGGGTCAGCCGCCGCCTCCGCCGGCTCCTCATCGCCGCCAGGCTCGGGCGCCCGCGGGAACTGCGGCACGTGGCGGACAGCTGAGCGCGGGGCGGCCACGGTCGCCCCACGGCAGCGGGCTGAGCACGCTGGGCGGCGGCCCGTGTCGACTCCTCGCGAAGCGGTGCATCTCGGGCCGATCACTGGTGACATTTTCCGCGGCCAGACTGATAAGGCGAGTAGCTAACAGATCGCACACTTCTAAAAAAGTTTTTTTCGCAGATCAGTTATTTTTTGCCGATCGCAACACTCAGCAGCCCCAGCCACCCACCTTCTTCTTGCCCCACTGTTTGTCGGGCACGATGTAGCCCCGCTCGGTGAAGGCATGAAGCAGCAGGAACTCGTTGCGCTCCGCCCGGCCGCCGAGCAAAGTCCGTGACATCAGGTTACCGGCCAGACGCGTGATCTGACGGTTACCAGACGAGAGCACGTCAGTGATTACCGGCCAGACGTGTGATATGACGGTCACCAGACGAGGGAAGGTCAGTGGTTACCGGCCAGACGTGCGATCTGAGGGTCACCGGACGAGAGCAGGTCAGTGATTACCGGCCAGATGTGTGATATGACGGTCACCAGACGAGGGAAGGTCAGTGGTTACCGGCCAGACGTGCGATCTGATGGTCACCAGACGAGAGGTCAGTGGTTACCGGCCAGACGCGTGATCTGGCGGTCACCAGACGAGGGAAGGTCAGTAAGAGGTGGCCAGCGCGATGCCGCACAACTAAGACCGCGAGCCAAACACGGTGATGTTGCGAAGGCTCGACGACCATTGCCACTGCGGCTGGGTTCGGTGCGACGTCGTCAGCTCGCGTATTACCATAATTCAATAATCTACTGGCGTCAAAATGCCGGCACGTTGCGTCTTTGCGCGGCGCCTGACTGTCCTGATCCTAACACGGCGAAGGCACGGAGACTTCCGAATGGCGCTTGCTTGCAACATCACACCGAGTCACTCAAAGCTCACTCAAAGACAACCAACAAAGCCCACACGCGTCGACGACGAGTCCCTCCCACACAAACAGCAGCTGACCGCGAGCCCGCGCCGTGAGGTCCCACCTGCAGCGCCAGCGGCAGGGCGTTGAGCTCTGCCAGCACGCGGCCGGCGTTGTGCGCCTCCTGCATGGTCAGCGTCACCAGCTGCAGGATGGAGCGCGACGCCGAGAACATGCCGGCCACGCGCTCCTGAGACACCTCCACGATCTCGGCGGGCGGCAGACGCAGCACCTGGCGGCGCGAGAGGGCGTCACGTGGCGAGGGAGAGGGCAGGATCGGGTGGGCTCACAACAGGCACAAGTCAGCCCGTATCGGAGGCGGCGAACCAAGCGGAGCAACTGGCAGACAGGGTAGTGGAGTCACACAACCGATCGGACGTGGCGGATGCGGCGGGGGGGGGGGGGGGAGGGGGGCGACAACAGCACTTTGTGTTGACGGTGGCTTGGTGACCGGCCTACCTCCGCTCGGCGACTGGCAGTGCGGAAGACCAGGAGGACTGGCCAGAGGACATTTCATAAGCGCAACTTCCAAAGCAATACCTGGCCATACAACCCGGCTACGAAATGCACGTCTGAACGTTTATCACGCATACACGTGAGAACACCAGCCGAGTCGATGACACCGTTTGATCTGGGCGCGGTGCCGGCTGCGGCCCCGCCGCCTCGTGCCTCACGTACGGTGCGGCACAGCTCCGGCAGGTCATAGCTCTTCTGGCGCGTCAGCTCCTTGGCCGAGAGGAAGGTGTCGCAGAGCAGCCGGCCGCACAGCGCGCTCCGACGCACCGTGTCGTCCGAGAATTTCTGCCGGACGCGGGACGGACGGTCAGCGGCGCGGGTCACTGACAGCGGCAGGGGCCGCATCGCCTCGGCCGTGTTCACAGGCGATCGGCGCACTGAGAAGCACGTCGAACAACGCCGCGCCACCTGCCTTTCAACGTAACGGGACGCGCTATGACGGAGAGCGCGGCCATCGCTGGGTCGGGATTAGTAGGACACCACACACAGCCCGCTGGGGGCTAGTACATGGCACGGCTGACTTGGAGGGGATACAAAACGTGCCGCAGACGCGTGGGCCCGTGCGGTGATCGTTCCAAAAATGCTAGCCTTTAAAAACGCATCATGAACAGCATGCCATGAACATGAACAGGACATGAACAGCATGCCAGCGCACTAGCCGTCCCGGGGCCACATGCTGACCCGTACTGTCCGCATGATGACCTATGACGACCTACGCTGCCGGCAGCGACACTGCTGCACTGACCGATTTGAAGAGGACGTCAGCCGAGCGTCGCAGGCGGCCCATGTGCGCCCAGTTGTTCAGCTTCAGCAGGCGGCAGCGGCTGAGCAGCACGTCCAGGTCGAAGCCGTACACGTTGTGGCCGACCACCAGGTCTGGGTCCAGCTTGTTCATCTGTGGCATGCATGGTGCATGAGGAGGTCAAGACGATGAACTAACTTCTCCAGTAGTTCACTGACAGGTGCTTCGCTATTTACTGGCGGCATGCTGCTGGAGTCACGTACCGAACAAATAAACCCGTGTGTCAACTGGCACACGAGGTTTCCACGACGGGAAATGTTTGTCACACAACTTTGCACGTTTCAAAATATTTTCTTTGCAGAGGGCGCCTCAATGTGACCAAAAAGAGGAGCAAAGAACAGCTTTAAATACCACTACAGAATATCCAATACCAACAGGCTCAAACATACATTTCGGCGCAACACTCGGCAACGTAAGATGCAACATCTCGCATGCATGCAACATTATATGAGATGCCTGAACATGGCGGTGTGCAACAAGTTGCACCACGTCTCTTGTCACTGCCCAAACCCGGCGTCCCGGCCCATTTCACTCGGTCTAAGCAGCCTACCTTCGCAAGGAAGAACGAAATGAGTGCCTTCTCGTTCATACACTTGCGGACTGTGGTGTCGCTGAAGCCCGCCAGCTGCTTGTCGAAGTCGTACGGCCAGGCTGCGTCTGCCGGCTTGGTGACGGCTGCAACAGAGACACAGTTGGTCAGCTACGACGGTGGTGGCGCGCTCCAACTCCGTTAACTCAGAACTCAGAACAAGCGACGCGGTGGTTGCGCCACCGGTCTCATCCCAAATCGAGTGGCAGGCACAGTGAGTTCCGGATCGGTTCACACAATCGTAGAGACTCCCACAAGTTTCGGAATGCCAGGATACAATTACTTGGAGCACACAACTCGCGTGGCTACGTCATGCTCCGTGTAAATACTGACGTAAAATGAGGCCGCCATGCCCACCAACATTTACGCAAATGCCTAGCGCCAATGACTTCATGCCTGCAAGTATGAGAGACGGGATGGGTGGATTACCCCGATACGACGGAAAAAACACGGTATGACAGCCTATACTGGCATAACGCCTTGTCCCTTACGGGGTGGTAATGGTAGATCCTGGACATGTTTAACGACGAGAGCGTACCGGGTCTCCAGACCACCACATACATGACGTCTAAAGCCGACAGAATTCATACAATCCAACCCCGGCCGGCGCAAAACGAACGGAATTATCATTCATTAGCACTGAACAACACGACCTCGCAAAGTCAGCACGTAATCGCCACGCCGTGCGGATCCCGCCTGACCTACCGCAGAAATGCTGCTGGAAGAGCGGCGTCGGCGCGGCGCCGTCCAGTCGGAACTGCTTGTGCACCAGGCAGGAGATCATGACCAGCTCGCTCTGGTGAGAGCGCGCGCTCACCACGGTGCGCGTGGCCAGCGTGAGCACGGTGAGCGGCGGCGGCGGCGCCGAGTGCGCCGACACCAGGCCCGGCAGTGGCATACTGGCCGCCGCCTGACGCACAGACCGGCCGGAGTTAGTGACGGGGTGAGAGTGCGAGGGGCACTGTCATGTCTCCTGCAGGACAGCCGCGACTGCACATGGTGACACTCAGGGTGGAGACGTTAGACGTTTGACATGGGCGAATATTTCAGCACAGCCTCATCGGGTAGCAGCAGGCACGTCACGTGACAGGCAGATGAGGGCGGGCGGCATCGGACGGCGGGAGCCCGACCGGTCGGAGCGCGGCTGCCTGGCGAGCCGCCGCACACGGCGCCACTACATACAGCAGCCGAAGAAGCAGCTCAGTCGGGTCACTGCCACTACACACAGCAGCAGACGAAGCAGCTCAGAGAGACAACTATGCATCTTTCCATTGCCCTGCGCTGTAGCCGCTGAAGCCCGCAACATGTGCGGGATGCGGCAGCCGTGGCTTTCGCGACGAGCGACGCCGGTAAGACTCACCTCGATGGTGCAAAAGCTGAGCTTCTGCTGAGGGATCGTGGGCTTCTTGACCTCCAGCCAGCACGGTCCCTTGACCTTGTTGCCGATGAGGAAGGCCTCCAGCGTGTTGGTGTTGGTGCCGAACACGTGGCTAAACGTCTCGCCCTCCAGGTTCTGCGGCAGCGCGCTGTACGACGACTGAAACACAGTCCGCCGTGTGAAATGTACGCGCAGTGGAAAGCTGATGCCAGTGCTACCCATCGCTCTCTCTCTCTGCTCCCGAAACCCCAGGAGAGCCCTGCAAATGACCTCTGGCCACAGTAGGGGCTGACAGTCAATAGATAACAGGAGCAGGTGGCCGAGGCCAGGCGCTGTCGTATGTGATCAACATAACGGGCAGAAAGCAAGATGAGCGCGAAGGTTGATATGTGTGTTATACCTCGTCGCCATCACGACAATGATATAAAGAAAAGAAATACATGTCCCACTCATTAAAGGCATTATGCATTCACAGCACGCACATCACTAAAGCGTTGCGAACTTCGCTGACAAGGAACCGTATTCAAACAGCTGGAATGAGACCGACTCATTTCTTTCCATACCATCCATGCACCCGAGTGCATTCCACCGAATGTCTGGGGCGAATGTACGCTCGCACATACCGAGTACATGACCTCCAGATAGTCGGCCTGGTTGGGCACGTCGAACTTCTCGAAGGCGTAGTTCATGGTGGAGACCTTGGAGCGGAACTCGGCGATCTTGAACCGGTTGGCCACTCTGGAGTTGAACTCATCATACACATCCTTCATCGTAATCTCGTCTCCCTCGACTCTCGTCTTGGGGTTCAGCCGCTGCCGACAGGGCAGAAGTCCGTCAGCGAACAATGTCGCGGCTCATCCGGCGGCTGAGGACACATTCAGAACCGCTCACGCTGACTGGACAGTGTTCACTAGCTCACCTTCAGCTCAGCTAAGCTCTGGACAGTGCTAACCCTCAGCTCACTCTGACTCTGGGCAGCGCTAACTCAGCTTGTCCTGACTCTGGGCAGCACTCACCCTCAGCTTGCTCTGACTCTGGGCAGCGCCAACCCTCAGCTTGCCCTGATTCTGGGCAGTGCTCACCCTCAGCTAGCCCTGATTCTGGGCAGCAGCTAACCCTCAGATTGCCCTGACTCTGTGCAGCGCTAATCCTCACCTTGCCCTGACTCTGGGCAGCGCCGACCCTCAACTCACCCTGGCTCTGGGCAGGAGGAAGACGCGCCTCGGCACGTTGCTGACGCGGACACAGCAGGAGACGTAGCCACCGGCCGACTCGACCCAGACCCGGCCGAACAGGTACACTACACTGCCGGTGGCCGCGTTGTCGCAGTACGCGTCCAGCCAGAAGAACCGCAGCACCTGGCACAGAGAGGCGACCGTTGAGCCGGGGGACGAACAGGCGGGTGGCGACACGGACAGGCAGGCTGGAAGACGGACGCGGGGCAGGAGATGTCACTGGCGCGATCACATGCGGCTGGGGCTGGCAGAAGACGGGTCTGCTGCATGACCGGGAATGTAGTAAGGGTAGATCACAACAGCAGCTCCATTAACACAGCGCAGACGGCGTGGACGTCTGCAAACATCACCACGACCTGACGCGAACACCATCGTGCCACGCACGGCACGGAGGCGGCTGCCGCAACATGCGCGATCCAGGCGAACGTGGCAGTCCTCCGGCCGCCTCCGAGAGCGCACCCATGCCGCCGGGCCGACCTGTTCGCCGTCGGCGTTGGTGACCAGCGGCAGTGAGGACGCGTCCACCAGGGTGTCGGCGGCGGGCGGCGGCTCCACGCAGAGGCTCGCGGTGCGCATCCAGTCCGAGGTCACCTCGGCGGCCGGCTCCCTGCGGCGTCAGGTCGCCAGGGTCACGCCAACATATCCAGGAGATCGCCGGATGGTCGCGGCAGGGTATGTTTTGCATACCGCGGCATGTTATCACACGGTCAGAGCTGTCGTCTCGGCTGTTGCACAGCTGTCTTGTGTTGTTGCCCGGTCACCGTGACAGCTCCGTAATAGTGTGTCGCGAAGGGTCACAAGACATCTCCGCCGCGAGTCTGTGTGGTGGGCATGGCGCCGGGGCGTACCAGCGCCTTCCAAGCTGGTCATGGAAACCGACAATGGCGCATGGCCACGAAACGTCTTGTGCCAAGAACTTCCCTGAATGAAATGTTACTGTCTCAAATGTCTGGAAGCGGGGTTGCGAGGTTACGACCTCGTCGCGTCTCCTTCGGTCGGAGCCCTCACATATATTATAAACCACATTATTTCATAACGACATACAAGACCGCATCATCAGGCAAACCCGACCCCAACACGAGCCGGAGCCACACGCTCACGAGCCCGCAAGGCATCTTCTCCCGACACCCTCTCTCCTCCACGCGACGTACCCCGCCCCTGGCACCTGCCGCCCCCAACCGAGGTCGCCACTCACTGCGGGGGCTCATCCTTGACGGTCGGCGCGGCAGGCTCCGGCTCCTCCTCCGGCAGGTCGATGCTCTCGAACATGGAGTCGTCGTCCTGGATGAGCGCGTCCACCGCCTCCCGCTCGGCCCGCTGCGGGGCGACAGGCCGCCACTGTGAGGGGCGCGGGGGAAGGCGACGCTCCCGTGGTGCTCCCCCTTCCAGACCCTGCTGTCTGAGGGACGCACCTTACCGGGTGTCCCCTGGCCGGCCAGACCCAGACCCGTAGACTACTTACCCGCAAGCGGCTGCGTCAAATGGACTTCACGACCGTGTTTACATGACACGTCAATGACCAGAAGGCCCTCAGGCGATCATTGAACTCATGACCCGCAGGCCACGGCGCGAAAGCGGGCTACCAACCGGCGCACCACAAAGCTGTCCTGAAGCGCCCAGCCGTGTCAGGCTGGCGATCTCCGTACCTAGAAGCACCATGGCGTGCGATAGCACATGATTACAGGCGTTCTACAACGCAGCTGCCTGATCTCCGTTCCCTAGCTGTTTGCCGGCAGTTTTATAACGCGAGCTTGTGACGTGTTTTTACCGTACCGGCACAAATTGCTCTGTAGCGAGCTAAGCCGTGAACGCTCCTCGCCCAGTGGGCTCACCTTGTCTGCCTCGATGTCCTGCGTGGCCGGAGCGTCCTCGATCAGCTGCGACGCCGGCTCGCTCGTTGCCGGCTGCCGCACAGGGGCGTCATGAGCGTCGCGTCGGAGACGGGGCAGCACTGACGCCCGGCACCGTACGCCGCATGAACAGATCCGTGCTAATGCGTAAGTCCAAACTCAAGGGCATTCGTGTTCACGTTTTCCCATGCACTAACGCGCATGTCTTCAAACCGGCCTAGCCCAACCGGCGACAATGCACTCCAGCGCCACTCAACAGGACCCCAGCCTCCCGACGCCGCCTCAGACTGGACGCCACAGACCGGTCCGGGGTCGGGCCGGCGCCGGACCCCGCAGCGCTCACCTGTGCGCCGGGCCGCGGCCTGTCCGCCCGCGGCGGCGGCGGCTCCCGAGCCACGGGCGTCGTCTTCAGAGTCGTCGACGCGCGCAGCGGCGCTGGGACCAGCGGCAGCTTCTTCGTCCTGCGACAGCCAGGGCGGCGGTGAGCACCGAGGGTCAATGCACCGCGGACGTGTTGTCAGTGGTAAGCAGCAGCGCTGGCAGTGAACAACACGCACTATCCCAGCCATCTTCCTCTGACAGACCGTCAGAGACAGACATTAATTCATGAGGCTGCTTGGAACTGTTCTGGTATCATCGACCTTCGCCTACATAGGTGTTACAAGTGTGTTGAAAGTCAATATGCATGATCTTGCCCACACGTCACTCATGTGAGAAAAAACAGAATGAGTGCTAAACTATAACAGCACGTCTGAGTCACAAGGGTCATAAAAACCACCACTTCGCAGACTGCACAGGTGTCCACAGCCCCAACCCCGCTCGCGGACTATACCGAGTCCCGTACGGGGGCGCGCTGGGCGTCGACTTGCGCTTCAGCTGCGCCGGTCGCACGCCGATGGCCGGTGATGACTTGATGTCCTGCAGGATACCTTGCAGGTCCTCGTCCTCCTCCAGCTTCACGTCACGCTTGCTCTGCAGCAAGGATGAAGAGCGTGAGGACGCGAGGTTAAAGCGGCGGCGAGGCGGATGACAGGCGGTCTGGTCTTCGCATGACGCTGGGGCTGCTCTTCCGTTCACACGCACGCAGCATCTTTACGTTGTCCCCCTCCTCCTCCTCCCCCCCCCCCCCTCCGCTCCCCACCCAAATTGCTACCGATGCCTTCTACTCGTCCAAACACACGCCTGCAGCTGACACTAGAGCAGCGTTCGCTGAGACGGCTGCACATAATGCACCGCCTACTCCTGGCAGGCCACACCAGCATGTGGCACCTTCATCTAATCGCGGGACGGCGGTCCGGCCCCACGCCAGCCACCGCTGCGCGCATACCGCCCTCACCTTCTTGCTGGGCATGCTGAGAAGCATGTCGCGGATGTTGCTCTTCTTGGGCTGCGCCGGGTCACGCACCCGACTGTTGGACTTGCGCTTGGCCTTGGCTGCGTCGCTGGCTCCGTCGTCCACGATGTCGTCATCGAATATCTCGCGGCCGTCCTCCACGTAGCCGTCGCCGCCGCCTGCACAGGCATGGACAGCCGTGATGACAGATCGATTCGTTTGCACCGGGACCTGGTGAGGGCGCCACCATCTGCTTGTCTGCTGCAGCCACCATTCAGTAGGCATAAAAACGTCGTAAGGAATTTCCTTTACAGCTCATGATTCAGACTGTTTCAGTGTGACCAAAGGGAATCTGTTATCCACTCAGGCAGGGTATGATTCTTCTCTGAAGCAAGTCATTTATGACTTTGAGGAAGTTATTCTTACACCGGTTAATATAATTTATCATTGCACATTTTTCAGCAGGTTCAGTGCACTTATGGCATTTCCTACTGCCACATTCCCTTTATTATTCCCCTCCACATATTAACCCTTATCAACATGTGCTATCAGGTGCCACTTTGCATCACCTACTCCACATCCTGTTTGCTACGTCCCTCACCGCTCTCTGACGACATTACCACAAAATAGCCGCGAGACCCGCCTCGCAAGCCGACAGCGACACCCACCATCATCAATGATCCAGTCGTCCTCGAGCCGCTCCTGTACGCGGCGCGAGTACTCGCGCTCGTCCACCATGTCGTACACGCTGTCGGCCGCCTCTGTCACCTCACACTTGTTCTTCTGGCCGCGCCTGATCTTGTCCAGCGCCGCCGAGCGGCCGGTGTTCTCTCGCCGCTGCCGCCGCGACCGGCCCGAAGCCAGCCCAGCATCACCTGCCAAGTCAGGGCAGGCCCCAGTCAGCACTGGGGCTCATGTGGGGGCCTGCAGTGTTTGCTGGGTGAGGCAAGGTCAGGTGGTGGATGTCTTCACATTGTGTAGGGGTGGCATGTTATTGGTCATATTTTCCATTTACCATATCTGTGTCAGTGGTGAGCTGAGATCAGCAACTGGAAATTCTGTGTTTGATATCCAGAGATGAGGAAGTGACATAGGTTGCAACCAGCAGGAAAAATAAAGGCATTGTTGTAATTCATGAAATGCAATCAAAACAACACAATTTAAATGCAAAGCTGACCCCAAATGTTCTGAAAAAGACAACTGACATACAGAACATGCTCATTCTATACAAAACTATAGGCTAGTAAATAGAAAATGGAGGCACATTCTCAATGACCAAGTGCCTCAACTCAGTTCTATGTAAACATGAGCATGCAGGGTGTGCTGCAAATACAGAGCAAAACACATTTTTTAAACTTTTTTACTGCAGGAAATGATCTTTGGTTGGTTACCCAAATCTCATTAAAATGCAATGTCAAACAAAAAGCTGCTTTAAAAATGACCAGGAAAGCAGGAACCTACAGAACATGTCTTGGAGTGCTTCCCAGCTTCTAACTGGGAATGTGCTTCACTCAGATGTTTTCAAACAAAAAATAGACCAATATTTGCAGAAGCTGGTAAGCACTGCAACACCCATATCATTCAGCATAACATTAAGCTCAAGTCATAGCCTGAGGCCAACAAGAATGGATTAAATGCCCACCACATAAGTAAAGCTCATATTTCTGAAGGTATGCATGCTTAGAATTTGCTAACAAATACTGGAAAAGTCTCAGGCATCGCAAGCAGCAAGCAATAGCTTCTGGCAAGCTTCTAGAAAAATACAATAGCCCTATGGCCCATGGAAGGAACAGGGTGCGATTTATGCAAGCCTCTCCCCCATCCAGAGTTCCATTGCACTGCATGTTCGACGAGAAATTCCATAAAGACAGGCAAAAGTACTTACCATTTGATTCCGACATATTTCACGACTTCAGCAAGGATCAAAGTGATGGAATGTTTCCAATAACCAGGCTAAAATGCCGCGATAAATTTGGGATTGCGGCGCAAAGCCTCAAAAACCCCGCCAAAAGCGATCTGAGCGTCCGCAAAGACCGTATCGCTTCTCGCGCCAAATGTTTCACCATTTCGCGCCAAATTGCTTTTGGACAATGAGCTACCAAATAAAGGATTCTTTTGCAAATTATTTTAATGTAGCGGCAAATTTAATAGTCGTCAGCTGATATGTTGTCGTCTCATCCGCGCCGTATTTGTGACCAGCAACGATTTCGGCTTGCTAATCGCGGTGTTGACCACAGTTGAGAAGCCAACGTTAGGTTGCGGTGTGGGTTCTTGTGTGGACTTGAAGAACGCAGCAAATTTAATGGATTGATTACAAATCACGTCCGTTTCTCTAATTTTTTGTGAAGCGTGGCAAGGCCAGGCACCGAAGGTAAATTTCCTTGGTAAGCCAATTCTATGCTGGTTGTGTGCTGGATTTCAGAAATCCTGCTTACTTTGTCATTTAGATCTTTTTGTAGCGTATGTATGATATTTAGCTATCAAAATGTTGTAGACATGATATCTTGTTGTTTTTTCATGTTTTTTTTTGCTTCAAGGTTATAACTTGTTCCATTATTTTCATAAGGCATGCAATGTAATAATCTAGCTTGCTGCTGGTTGCCAGAATTATGAACAAATGTGTGAGAACAGATACAATCTTTCTTGCAAGTGAATTGATCCTTATTCTTAACTACATTTGGTTTTTTCACTGGTGTTTGCATGAGACTGATTGCATACTTAAGTGGAATATTTTATTGAGTGCTTTGTACATTTCTTACTACAAGGATGCCAGGGAAATGAGAAAATAAATTGGATGTGAGACACAAGGGCTTTATGACACCTGACATGTGAAACACTATGAAACAGCACCCAACTCTTTCCTGATATTCATGCATTATAATCTGGTATATAATCTAGAGAACTGTACTAAAAGATTTTGCCCTTTAGCTTGTAGGTTTCCATCATTATAGGATAGGATTTGTCAATTAAACTATTATAAAGCTACAACATCTTGCTATGCATTTTAGAACCATTTATGTCTAATGGGCAGGCTTAAAAACCATGATTGTCCATCATTTATACATGATCAGTCAGGTTTGTCATCATTTTAGGCTGTCATAGTAGATTGTTGGTTCAAAAAACAGGACATGTAGTGAATTGGACCACTAGATTATATAACTTTGTCCCATCTACAGTATGATATGCAATAAGCTTAAAGAAAAAAACTTCCAAATCTAGAATTTTTTCCAGATTCAGAGTGATTGCCAACCTGAATTCAGGACTAGGCTTCAAGTGCTAAACACTGCCATCCAATGAGTAATTGAAAGCTTGTGTCAGAAAGGATGCCAAAAATTTATATGTGAACCTTACATAAGAATTGTTATCCCATGACTCAATCTGACCCCCATATACCAGTTTGTTGCCAAGCAGCATACCCATTTTTTCTGCACTTATGTAGACATTATTTCTTTGATACTCTTGTTGATAACTTAACAGTGGTATCACTGATATTCATTTTGCTGCACTGTGCCATCATCACAGCCTTATACCCTAACAAAAAGTGCAAAATATTACTGCACTGGTAAAGCCCAGTAATGTGCATTGAAATGCTATCACCCTATATGATTGCCACTTTAACCCATGCCCAGCAATAGCCTGAACTCCCCCTCTCCCCATTCATCCCTCCAACAGGTCTTGTAGGACAGATGCTTGCAAACAGTGTGTTCTGGTGTCTCCAGGCATGTTGACTGGTATCTAGGTACCAACTGGTGCTGGGAGCTGGATGAACTTTGTGGTCTGGCTTTACTAAATAAAGCTAATAAGAAAGTTGCATTTTCTGATGTGCTTTGGCTGACTTCCCACTCTTTTCTTGCAGGAGACACAATGCCAGCCCCCAGCTCTGGCAGCAGTGACTCTGACTCTGACTCTGACTCCAGTCGCTCACCATCACCATCCCGCAAGGGCCCATCGCGTCCGCCGCCCTGCCAGCGCCGCCCGCCGCCCGCGCTCGGTCGACTCCGACTCCGACTCAGGACTCGTCTGTCGAGCGGAGGTCTAAGCGCCGCCGCGACAGTGGCGCCGCGCGGCGGCCGTCACCACGGCGAGCACCCTCGCCCGGCGCGCGCGCGCGCCGCGACCGGTGCAGCGGCTCGCGTGAGCCGGACGCGCGCGGTCGCCGCGCCGGCTCGCGGGAGGCGGGCCGCAGCGGCCATCGGCGCCACAGCCAGGGCACCAGGGACGAGCAGAGGGACAGGAACAGGGACGAACGGCCGTCACACCGAGCCGGCTCGCACCGCGGTGAGCGTAGCGAGCGCGGTGGCCGCAGCGACCGCGGCGAGAGGAACGAACGAGGGGACCGAGCTGAGCGCAGTGATCGCGAACGTGCCGAGCGCGGTGACCGCGGTGAACGTGCTGAGCGCGGTGACCGTGGCGAGCGAGCTGAGCGCAGTGATCGCGGTGACAAGTGGCGCAGGGACGCGGCCGGCCAGGGCGAGCGCGTGAGGGGCCGGCACCGGAGCGGCTCCCGCGAGAGGAGCGCGCGCACGGCGCCGCGACGCACCCGGTCCCGCGAGCGACGGCACCCGGACGAGTTCGACAGCACCGGCGCGCACCACAGGCGGCGCGACGGCCGCGACCGCTCGCCGCACCGGCGCGACGAGCACGCGCGGCCGGAGCCACGGCGCCGCGAGCGCAGCCCGGCCGAGGACGAGCGGCACGCCAGGCGGCGGCCGGCCGAGGCGAAACATTCGATCCAGGACGCCAGGTGGCAGCACCGAGAGGACCGCGGCCCGTCGCCGGCTGCCGGTGGCTGGAGCTGGGGACCGCGTGTGGACCGGCACAGCGGCCGGGACGCGCCGCAGCACGAGGACTTCGCGTCGGAGCGGCGCGAGCAGCGCATCAGGATCAGCGAGCGAGGTGTCCCTGAGGTGTGGAGCCACTCCCCGCCCAGGGAAGACGGCGCCGACGAGTGAGTACTGGTGTACAGGGTCGGCGTGGCACAGGCGATCCGCCCTGCCTGCCTCACTACTGCCTGATCCTAAATCCTCGCAGTGGCCCGTATGCTGAAGCCAGCTGTGGCCGTCAGCTACCAGCCGGCTCACGTCTTCCCGGGCCGGAGCTCCGCTCGAGCAGCCCCGCAAACCCTCAACAAGGGCGTCGGTACATGATGCATCTGGTTGGCGGGAGCCTTCCACCACTTCCGTAGGCCTTCAGGTTGATTCTCGTTGCAATGATGGCGTCGTATCGGTGCGATGCTTTTGCCCAAACAGTTTTTGTGCAACGTGCGTTTTCGAAAGCATGCTAACGCGTCCCTGTGATGCTGTGCCGGACTGGATTTTGCTAATCTTACATAACACAACGTTGAAGAATGACGTCGCACCGCCGTTTAAAGCCACGTGGTATCGTATTTCTAATGCCATCACAACATCATGGGAAGGCTGTGTTACATTACTGAATTAATGTGTGTATTGTGTGTGCGCTCGTGTATGATGTGTGTGCCTAACAATCTATCGCGGGTTGTTATTTGTTGTTGTCCGCAACCTGCCGTGCTTTCTTAGTGATTTTGCACAAAATAGACTTGCATTTGAGCTGCCAGAGTTTTTGTGCCGGTCGCCTCACGGTATTATGTTGTTCCTCAGCTCCGACCTGGCCAGCCCGAAGCCGCAGCGGGAGTCTGTCTCGTCGGCCGACGAAGCGGAAATAAAGAAAAAGAAAAAGGCCAAGAAGGAGAAAAAGAGCAAAAAAGATAAGAAAAAGAAGAAGAAGCGAAAGAAGAAAAAGAAGAAGGTTTCGTCTTCGTCCAGCGAATTAGAAGACGAAGAAGAGCAGTGGATGGAGAAGGGAGGTATGGGCAAAGTTATGATTGAATATGCTCAGAGAGCGCGCTCCTTAGTATGCGTGCTTCGTTCCCATATGGGAACGTTGGCTGTCACTTCCACTTATTATGTCCTAATGAACTGTGTTATGTGTATCGCAATGCCACTACCCCTGAAAACGCAACGGCCGTTATTTAAGCGCAGGTGTCGTCTGACGCTCGGTCCTCTCAGCTGGTTTGCCGTCATGCCGCACGAGCGGCACGTCTCGCAGCTGTGCCCTGGTTTCCGTCATTGGATGGTCATGCCCCGACTGTGTGTCGTCTGACGCTCTGTTCTCGCAGCGTCCATCGCTGGCCCGGACGGCCTCGGCGTCGACGGCGACGACTCGTTCGGTCCGATGCCCAAGGAGAAGGTGCAGCTCTCGAGGAAGGAGATGGGCCAGGCCTTGTTGCCCGGCGAAGGTGCGTCCTGAGACGGTGCGACGGGCTGAGGGCGGGGAGACGGCGGACACGGCCGGGGACGTTGCGGCTGCTTCAGGCCTATGAAAGAGTAGTTTTGATCTGTGTGCTGTGACTTAGGGAGTGGCGGTATCGTGTTAACGCTAGACACAAATCATGCTTGCGGCCCGCCGCTGACGTGATACGCACTATTGGTACGCAAGAAGCAATGTCACATTTCAGTTGGTGACGACCTTCGTGCTGTTTTCTAGAGGGGTGGACATGCGTTGGGGGCATTCTCTTTCACAGTGAGGCACTGGCTTCAACTTTCTCTGGTTAGATAAGTATATCGCTGGCCTTTTCTCTGAAAGGTAGGGTGAAATATGGCGTTAAGTGCAAAACTCCCGAGCATTTCAGCGGGATTTTGGCAAAGAAGTAAATTTTTGTGTTGGCTGTGAACCAGATGGTAAAACGGGGTTGCATCTTGCGCTAGAAAACGAAGACGATCAATGAAAATAGTTTCGGAGCTGCAATCCACATGCAGAATATTCGAATGTAGGACGCTGTCACACTTATCAGGCTCATTCATACTTCCACAAGTATATTCCGTGCACCAAAATAGGCTGAGAACGCAATGCTGATCGTATCTCTTGTCATAGCGCGTCGCCCTCCCCTGTCCTGAAACACCCGTCGTCTCCGAATACGTGCACGTAGCACCAGGCAATACCCCAACATCCTGGGTAGCATGACGTGCCCTCGCGTAACCGTGCGTCCCAGCTTGGGGCGCACCCCTGGCGGCCTGTGTTGTACGGGGCCCGCCCTCAGCGCGGCAGCCCGCCTGACTCGCGGCGATCTTCGGCGCAGGTGCGGCGATGGCGGCGTTCGTGGCGGACGGCAAGCGCATCCCGCGGCGCGGCGAGATCGGCCTGACTAGCGACGAGATCGCCTCGTTCGAGGCCAAGGGCTACGTCATGAGCGGCAGCAGGTTCGTGACGGCCGACGCCGCCCGCCCGGCCGCTGGCTGATGGCTGACGGCCGGCGCTGGGGCGGGGCGGCGGTGTTACCCCCGGTCGGCGTGAGGCCGTGGTCGGGCGGTCGGCCCCTGTCAGTGATGTGCCAGGGGCAGAATGGAAGGTGTTTAATGAATCGGCGATTTTCTTTGAGGAGCAGTGTGTCAGAATGCATAATCTACGTATCACGGGACCGCAGAAGCTGTCGTCAGTTTACCGGTTACTGACAGTCGTGGAATCCTGTCAGTAAATTGAAAAGGAGGCTCACTCAAAACTCCGAGTCACTAGACAATCTGTTGGCCAGTTTTTTACGGGCTCTTCTTTCATGTTCAGTGCCTCAGCCTTGGTCTGTAATCTACTTCCAATGGGCTTTTGCTGATCGCCACTGTTACTTGTGTATATGTGTATCAAGTTGTGTATTGCAAATATTTGTCACGAGAGATGAGATGTCTGCATCTCTGCGTAATCAGTTTATTATTAGCGAGTCCCCTATTCCTGTGACGTACCGCCCTGGGCTCCGGTGACGTAGTTGAGATAAACTGGGACCTTGGGATCTAGTGCACGTAGTTCAGGCGGTGCGCATTGTGCGGGTCTCTCAAATTGGCAGGGATGCGCGCGTGACGGGCTTCAGTGCAGTTACGATCCGTACCATTTGAGGGACTGGCGATTTGTGCCGATGTATGAGTATTAGCCTAACTTCCCCGCCGTCAGGGCCCCTCCGGCCCTCGATCACCCGTATTTTGCTCGTGCTGACACCTACAACTCATACCATGCACTGGCATTTGCAGGCATCGCCGCATGGAGGCTGTGCGCATGCGCAAGGAGAACCAGATCTACTCGGCGGATGAGAAACGCGCGCTGCAGATGTTCAACAAAGAAGAGCGGACAGAAACGCGAAAACAAAATCCTGGGACAGTTCCGAGAGATGATCAGCAACAAGCTGAGCAAGAAGTAACGCGTGGTGTCCGGTGCTATAAACTGCAGACCGATGTCAAGGAGACGCCACCGGAGGCTTCGTGGTGAAGAGCGCCTGTTTTAGCGATCCTCGCTGGCTGACCTGGCGCTCCAACTGCGCTGAGTCAGCTGTTTTACTGTTTGCGTGCGGTCGCGGACACGTGTTGTGTACTTCACGCGCGCACGTGGTAACGCACGTGCAGTGGGGGCGGGCTCCGAAAACGTTCGCTGTTTATCTGTCATCGGGCACGGCGTGACTCACGCGGCGTGCGGCACCCCCCATCGCGCGGGTCTGGTACAGTTTGAGCGCGTGTTGCATGGCGCGCCGGTCGGCTCTGTGGCTGACGGAGGCTCTCCGCGCGGGATCGCCTCGGGTGACACGCTCGTGCGAATATACCACGCATCGCCCCCAGCCGACTGTGACCCTGCGCGCTGCGCGCAGCGAGGTGTCGCGGTCATGACGTCGGCAGCCGCCAGACCTGCGCGGCGCGGCCCGCCCCAGCCAGCGGCTCGGCGCGGCTCAGCCCGCCCCAAACCAGCAGCTCGGCCGCGGCACTGGCCGTCGCCGGCCGCGGCCGGAGCGGCGCGCAGTGGCGCGGGTTTTTTGCGCACGCACGGTGGCTGCAGTTTTCCTTCAGAAGTGTTGCGCTGCCGTCTCGCTGATGGCCGAGTTTTGACGGCGTGTCTGAGATGTACGGAGGGAATCTGGCGTGGAGAAACGGGCTGATGCAGATCCTGCATATCCCAAACTTTGAAAGAAAACGAGCAGATTGATCCGAGAGACAACCCTGCAAGGGTTGGCGTGGGGTGGTACTTAGTCATCAGATTAATCAGCTTCCGCGAGCAGAGAATTTCAGCCCTCTGTTAAGTCAGGCATGGGGGGGCCACCCGTCTGCCCCCAGCCGGATATGGAGGCCCAAAAGCGAACATTCCTGGGTCGATGGGCAGAAAAATGCGTCGCCTGAGTGAGTGCCAGAGCACTCACGGTAAGTGCCTGAGCACTCGGGTGAGTGTCTGGGCACTCGGGTGAGTGCCTGAGCACTCGGGCGAGTGTCTGGGCACTCGGGGTGAGTGTCTGAGCACCCGGAGTGGGTGCCTGGGCACTCGCGGTGAGTGTCTGATTCAGTGCCGGCGGTAGCACGGCAGCATTTATGCGCATGGAAAGGCTTCGGGCAAATGTTACCAGCGCGCTACCGCAGAGCCCAGTGGGAGGGCGCGGACCGGCCCGCAGTACAAATCGCGAGGGTGGCGAGCTCTGCACGACACGCCCGTCACTCGAGCTCGATTGTCCGCACTGAGTTACACCATGCGAGCACACGTGTGTTGTGCACCTGGATAGTGTAGGCCGCAGGTCTCTTGGTCATGTAAGCAGCCGCATACCAATCCGCTACGCGAGCTGCGGGCAGTAGTTGATTCATATGACTCGTTCTGACTGATGTGGTCTAGTCCGGAATATACGTTTGTCCATGCCTCATAACCTAGCGCTGACATTTTCGTGCCTTCATTTTGTGGCTTTCATGTTTTGCGGCCCTTTCCCGAACAACACGCGCGTCATCTCGGTGTCGTGACCTCAAGACAGATGGGCTGAATAGTGAATCAGCGCGTTCAGCCGTCCGCCCGCTCCTCGGAGTGGGTGCATAGGGTCTTTGACACTCATGTGGGGTCATTATGTCCGCTGCCGCACTGGCATTGCATGGATGGGTAGCAGGGAGATTATATGAGTGTAGGTCCGGTCAGCAGCATTCATGAACGACCCGGCGGCAGGGCCATTGAACCCATGCGACTGCATCTGAGAAGCTAACAGGGGTGTCGTTTTTCAAATATGATGCGGGCTTCCCGAAGCTGCTGAATGCAGCGTCATGCGACTAATAACTAAATTATCCGGTACGGGGGACCCCAGCCCCCGAACCAAAAGCTGTGAAACCCTGGGCACAGCGCAGACGAACATCTATACCCGTTCGTTTTGTCCATGTGCCGCCCATTGAAACGTCCCTTGCAGGCGTATTTTAGCACGCCAGTGCCGTTTCACGCGCCCTGCCTTGCGGCTCGCTCCGCCGGTACAGTGCCGCGGCCCGATCTCAGTCGCAGCCCGCCTGCCTCGCCCCGCAGATCCAGTGCCGCGGCCCGATCTCAGTCGCCGGCCACCTGCCTCGCCCCGCAGATCCAGTGCCGCAGCCCGATCCCGGCCGCGGCCCGCCTGCCTCGCTTGCGTGAGAGATGCTTTCTCGGGCGATTGCTTGCACCGTTGACTTCAAGGCCACATCGCTTTAGCCTGAGAGCGCGCCGGGCGGACGCCGAGCTCTCAAATCCGTCCGATGCCCATCCGCCCAGCGGCGGACGGCACCGAGCAAGTCCGCGTCCGTTCAGCGGACGGCGACCGCGCCATCTGCGCCAAAGCACGGCCGACAGGCAAGCGCGGAGACGTCACAATACGTACGCGAAAATTTACGTGTATTACAGAGCCCCGGCATGCGCACAGAACAGGATCGTCTTAAAAATGATTCCGATACAGCCCGCAATGTACGCTGTATACAAAAATAATATAGCAAAGTCTACAAATCTCCACGCACGTCGACAACGGGTTAACCAACCGGCGTGTTAACATAGCACCAGGCGGCCACACTCTGGCGTGGCGCGTCCCAGCAGCGTTAGCTCAGTGGCGTTGACCGGCGCGGCGGGCCGTCGGCGCGCGGCTCCACCGCAGGCACGTTCGAGGGCGGAGGACGGCCGGGCGCGCGGCGGCCGTCACGTGCCGCCTTTGAGCAGACGCTGGTATTGCCGGCCGTCGGATCACAGACGGGAGGGGGGCAGCGGCGGCGGCGGCGGCGGCCCGACCTCGCGGCTGACCGACCGCAGCGCCGCGCCGCGGCGACATATGGCAACCGGCCGGCCGAGCCCCAGGGACACGGGACGAGGCCGCTGCGCGCGCGCGCCGCCCGGCGGGCGATGCGGGATTACAAACAGTCACACGATAAATCTCTCCGTCAAAAGTAACATCACTGTCGCAGCGCTCCACGCGGCGTACAAACACGGGGCGGCGCCCAACACACGCAGTTCGGCGGGGCTGGGGTCCGGTCAGGTCCGGTCGGCCCTCCCGGCTCAGGCGGCCGCACCGGGCCGCCCCGCCGCCAGACAACAAGGCTTCGTCACGATATGAAACGGCGACTCGCGTGCCGGTGCTGACGGCTGGGCGCCGCCGACTGGTCCGGTCTGGTCGGCCGGCGGGGCCGTCCGCGGGGCAGCGCGGCAGCACCTGCAGCGGGGAGAGCGTGGTCAGTGGCACGGCCCGACCGGCCGCCGGCGAGCCAACAGCGGCCTGGTGAGGCGGCCGCGTTCACCACGCACGGATTACATTCACAGCACTGCTCAAAGCTTCGTGCAGTGCAGGCGCATCAGCCACGCGTCAGCCATTACCAAATCACCTCCTCATCTCCGGCGGCGATTCCCGCCGCGCCTCCACACCGCTGCCGGTCCCGAATACCCAGCGGCGGACCGCAACAGTCTGGACCCCACCCGGGCCGGCGCCGGCCGCCGGTCGGGCCGGCCGGCGGCACCCGCGTGACGGTCTGACGGACGTGCTCCGCCGCAGAGCCGGCCGCTTACGGCCACAGCGCCGGCCCGCTCCTGCTGAGTCGCCGCCGCTGACAAAGGCGGCGCGGCGGCCTGTCGGCCCGGCCGGGCTTCATCCGCCCGCTGCCAACTGACAGCAGCTGCACAGGACAGGCGCCCCGGCCGCTGCTCGCGGCACGCGTCGGAGGGAGCGAGGTCCAGTGGCTAGCCGACCGGCCCGTCGGCACGCTCCTAGGCAACAACGGGACCGACGGTTCATAGACGCCGTCCCGTCGCCCCCCTGTCAGCGGAGCTTGCCAGGGAAACCTGCCACATAGCCAGGCGTAACTGCTCTCTGAAACGAGGCGTCTTCGCCGCAAAACGTTCTCCGATAACGCAACGTCTCTGCCGGAGAACGTTCTTAAATAACGCAACGTCTCCGCCGGAGAACGTTCCCCAGTAACAAGCGCCTTCGTCAAAGAGCGTTCTCCGATAACGAGGCGCCTCCGCCGGGCAGTGTCCGACCTCCGACCTCGGACCTCCGACGGCGCGACTCCTCAAACTGAGGACGTGTGACGGGTGGCTGTCGCGCCGCTGGCCAGCGCGTCTCGCCGCGGCCGCCGCCGGTCAGGGCCGCCCTCCAAACCCACTTGACGGCCGCGCGCCGGGCTCCTGCAGCGGCCGCGCGCGCGCCAGCCAGCCTGCACCGAGCCGGCGCGCGGCGGCGCCGCCCATCGCACCGAGCGCGACGGCCCGATGAATCACGGTGGCGAGCCGTGACGTCACGCCCAACACTTGCGACGCCGACCAATTGCCGCCGAGCGGCCGCGCCGGGCGCCCCGCGCCGCTGTCCGGGGGTTCCTTCAGACCGGCAGGTCACTGTCGGCCGGCCCCCTGACCCGGCGGCGCCTCCGGCGCGGCGCCGACCCGGCTCGGAGCCTCACGTGCGGTTCGAGTCCGGGCAGAACCGGTTCGTCAGGCGGCCGCTCCATGGCACACATCGGGCGGCCGGCAAGGTCACGGGCGGACAGCGACGGCGGCCGCCGCTGCGCTGGCGCCGCCGGTCGGACCGGGGCCGCCACCAGGGATAGGGATAGCGGTAGGGATAGGGACGGAGACGGGGACGGGGACGGGGACGTGGGTGGAGATGATGATGGGGATGGGGATGGGGATGGGAATGGGGATGGCACGGGGACGGAGATGGGGATGGCACGGGGACGGAGATGGGGAGGGGACAGGGCAGCCTTACCGGCCGCTGTGAAGAGGTGTGAATCTGGGTGGCAAAGAGACAGGAGAAGTCGAATGGGCCACGGGTTAATGTTCCACAAAACATAGCAGGCCATTTGCACGGGCGATGACGTAGGATTTGATGCAAGCATACGCTGACAATACGGATTGTTTTCACAACTAGCGTTTATTTTGAAGCCAGTTAAAACTGGGTGTGTTTCACACAGCCCAGTAACGAACCCCACATATCAACAATCTCGCCCCCCCCCCCCCCCATAACGACTTCCAATAGAGGAAGGTGGCCTGCCTGGCGCGGTGCCCATCACATGGTTGGCAACGACAACGCGTCCAACAGTCAGCGAAGACGGTCGTTTTCAAAGTGATCATCAGGTGCACGACTTTCAGCCTGGCTTTGAACAGATTCGTGCTGGCATGTCGTGCTGATATATCCAGGTGGCAGCAATGCCCTTTGCAGGGATTTCGCGCCGCTGACGGGCGCACGGCTCGGGCCAGGGCCGGCCGGCCGCTGGACCGACTGGAGGCCCCGGCGCTACACACCACACACCACACACCTGCGGCCGCGCCCAGCGAAACGGCATCTCGCCGGGCGCGCCGGCGGGAAACCCGACGCGGGTGCGGGTCGTGACGGGGGGGAGGGGGGGGGGGGGCGACGAAGGGAGACACGGGTCAGCACCCGCCGCCGATCGCCGCGCCGGGGCGGCGGCCGGCCGTGCACCCAGCGCGGGGGTCAGGGGTCACCAGCCGGCCGCGGGGCACGGCGAGGGGCGCCGCTGACAACGGCACACGCAGCTGGGGACGGCGACGCCCGGTACGCACAGCCACGGCGCCAGTATATCTGGGGTGAGCGACCTCCGGCTGCGCGGTCCATGGAAAAAGGGGACGTTTGGATACTGCCTGGGGTGGAAGCGAGCGCCGTCTGCCACGCCCCATCACAACAGGTGGAATGATGCGACGAGGTGGCTCAAATCCAAGGATCCACTCCTCCGCCGACAGGCGGCAGATGTGTGGAGATGGTGCCACGGCTCGTGTTTTCCTGCTCGGTTTTCAAGTAGATAATCCATCTGGTGAGGGAACTGGGAGACAGAAGAGGAAACATAACTCCAGGGACGGGGTTTGCTAATGGTAACAACGTAAGCTTTATAAGCATAGGACCCAACGCTTGAACACGAATTCAGTACAAATACAGGATTGGTTTGATGCGTCGCAGCGCCGCTGAAAAAAAATTATGATGCTGTAACAACATTAGCAATCATCAGAAAAAGACGCAGGGGAGATTATGGCGCACTGGAATCAGAATATAACCAACCAATCACTCGTCCCAAGTCGCACTTTGACCCTATGATCTGGCGCCTACAATACGCCCAGAGCACTCAAGGGCCGGCCATTACTGCCTGATCCAGCAGCGGAGAGGTCGCCATCGCCGGTGAAAGGAGGCATTATTTAGCACCACCGGCGCTAAGGCCAGTACAAATAGCCACCGGCGGGGCAGCTCGATTCGGTCGGCCGGTAAAAATCACAGTCATCCGTTACTGTCACATTACGGTGTTCGGCGCGGAAAAAGCCGTCGGAACAGCCGCCGTCTGGACCGGTGGCCACGTTCAGACTGCGCCGGTGCGGGATGACCGGTGACCAATCCATCCTTCAGTTGTCAATCCCACACCCATTTTGGGCCCGTCGCTGAAACGTGGACGACATCCAGCACGAATCAATGCAGCAGCAGCGACGGCAGGACGGCCGGAGCACGCACCTGCGGCCGCGGAGCACACCGCTGAAGGCGAACCGGTTCATCGGCAGACCCGTGTCATCGGGTGCGCTCGTGACGTCGCTCCACACCCGCCGGCTCAGGCGAGGCGCGGGCGCCGCCACCGAACCCTGGCCGCCGGATCAGGTCGCACGCGATGCGGCCTTCGGCGAAGCGACGCCGACGTCGGTCGGAGGTGCGACGCCGGCCGCGTCCGGCCGCGGCCGGCAGCGGCGCCGCCGCAGGACGCGCCACCGCCGGCAGACGGGCGCCGGCGCCGGCGCCCGGCCGACCGGGACGCGGCGGGAGGCGGAGAACCGCGCGCGTCACTGCCTCGGTTAGGCAGCGCGCAGTTCCGACTGAGACGGGCCGGGGACGGACCGGACGAGAGCGACAACGGAGGCCAGGCGTCGGCCGAGCCGCGTCTGGCGTCGGCCGACGGCGCCGCTGGTGGCGGCAGGGCTGGTCACCGGTGTGGTACCAAGACCATGTGGTTGGTCACGGTGTTAAAAACAGCACCAGAGTCTGCAAGGCGCTATCGCTCCATCACGACACAACAAAGGAGACCACAGCCATGAAATGTTCCGCGAAGTGAAGCACTAAACGTTACGACACATGGGCAACAGAAGTCATAAATCAGGCGCAGAAACATTTTGTAACCGGTAACCAGGTTCATGCGATCGGAAAATTGGCAAAAAGCTGATGCCGACCAGGCCCAAGCTGCCACCTGTGCGCATCACGACTTTGGCCGATCATGCATGTCATCGAATTGACCGGGATAATGATTGATGGAACCCTCATCTCACTCCAGACACCTGCTGATTTCAGCAAGCGTAAGTCGCATTAAATTTCCATTAGCGCGTTTCGCTCAGCATAATGTCATGCAAATGCACCGGTGCACCACGCTCAACACACCAGCGCGTGGTCGGACGTCTTCTTCTGCGAGCACCATCTCCATACGGGCCAGCTGCAGCCGTCCGCACACCAGCGCACCGCCGTCTCCTACATCAGCAGCTCTGCGAGCACCTTCTCCATACGGGCCGGCTGCAGCCGTCCGCACACCAGCGCACCGCCGTCTCCACATCAGCAGCTCTGTGAGCACCATCTCCATACGGGCCCGCTGCAGCCGTCCGCACACCAGCGCACCGCCGTCTCCACATCAGCAGCCGCCAGTCGGGCGTCTCCCTCAGCGGCCGGCGGTGAGTGGCGGCCCGAGCCGGGGCCAAACCCGTCCGCTCGCGTCACGCATGCAGCGCGGACGCCTCGCATTCACGCGGCGAAAGGAGGCGGCGGCGGGACGCTCTTGACAGGGACCCGGCCACGGCGAGGTCAGGCTCACTGACCGACGGACAGACAGGCATGCAGACACATGTACACACGCACACATAAACAAACGGACAGACAGACAGACAGACAGACAGAGACAAAGGAGGGACGGCGCAGAGCTGTCCGGAAGCTGTGGCCGCCGCCGAAGCCGTGACCGGCCGGCTGGCGGCACGCCGCGCCCCACGCCGCCGGAAGGGCTGGCAAGGCCGAAGGGCGGCCGTGACGGCGGCGCAGGCGGTCTGACCCCGCCGGCCGCCGGCACGCCCGCCGCACACGCTCACACCCGGGCAACGCGTCGGACAGACGCCGATTCAGAACGTTCGCGCCCCGTTCGCGCGGCGCGCTGCGGTGTCGGTTTTCACAGACGCCAGCGCGCGCACGGCGACTAA